CAGCCAAAATAAAAAAACCAAAAAACCAACAGCTACAAACTGACAGATAACATTTCAGACTTACTGTTGGACCATAAATCTTGACAGGCTTTTACTAGCAGATATCAGCTTACATGGGAAGCTCTACTTATACTCAAGGAATCATGTGCTAAAATATTTAAAACTAGCTAACCCTTTAAAAAAAACACACACCTCTCAAACACAGCTAATAATAGCAGTAGGATCTCGGTATCTTTTAAAGAAAAAGTTGCCTGAAATAGGCTTCAAGACCTGCAAAGGAGAAGGAAGTAATTGTGCTGTGCTGTGCGTGTGTTTGGAGTCAAGCACCCCAGAGAAGGAGGTGTCCCCCCCCCAACAGCTTCTTGGCCCCAGGCCTCACCAAACCAGGAACTGGTGCAGACTTCCTAGGTCACACTCATAGTCTCACTCTTCACGACTGCACTGTACAGCTCAAGCGAAATCTGTCTCCCAATTTATTTATTTTTGCTTAAGCAATAGTCTGCATTTCTTTAAACCATAACGTGCCCCTCAATACTTTAGTCATATCTCAGGGATGTATAACAAACCTAAATAAAACTAAAGTGACCCCCCAAATGTGAATGATATTGCTAGAAATACAAATATTTTTCACAATAGACTGAGGACTACTCAAAACAGCAGATCTGATATATGGTCCCTAGGAGGAGACCTCACTGAACTCATTCAATGCAGCAATATATGTAGCAATTAAACAACAAGGTAATTTTTATACTATAATTCCTTAACATGCTTGTATTTTTATATATATATTTTCTTGGAACATTGTGATTCCAGTTTAATTAATTCGTCCATTTGACAATGTGTGCGTTGCAAGGAATGATTATTCCCCAACCCTGCAAAGGCTGATATTGCATTAAGACACAATGACATTTCAAGTAGATATTTATGTTGCTCAGCCACTGCAATCAATCATGTGAATGCTCCTTAAGTGCTGTGAAGATCTCAATCAAGAAAATGCAGAGGAAGAAGCAAAACTGTTTTGAGACAAACTCTGTCTTAAACAAGCTTGTTCAAAGGGAGAGTTGGTGATTGGCACAAACCATTCTCTCTTTAGAGCAAGTTTTAACCTTGCATTCATGGCAGCCTTATTACCACCATAAAAATGAACATAAGGACAAACACACATTTAAAAGCACTGCAATACCTCCGAAGGAAACGGGAACATTTTGCATGTATAACCCCTAGATCAGGGGTCAGCAAACTTTTTCAGCAGGGGGCCGGTCCACTGTCCCTCGGACCTTGTGGGGGGCTGGACTATATGGGGGGGGGAATATGAATAAATTCCTATGCCACACAAATAACCCAGAGATGCATTTTTGGAAAAAGGACACATTCTACTCATGTAAAAACACACTGATTCCCGGACTGTCCGCGGGCCGGATTGAGAAGGCGATTGGGTCTTAGTTTGCCTACCCATGCCCTAGATATATTTGCTTCTCCTCTGTACAGATAATTAATCCAAGCTGAGTTTTTAAAAAGTGCAGTAAGAACTTAAAATGAAAAGAGTTTTCACCCCATCTAGAAAGCATACACACACACCTGGAGGTATATACAGAAGAAATCTAGTACTTTCTGCCTTCCCAGTTATTATGCTAACTATTGGAAGGAGGCTACCAAATAAAAGTTTAGAATGTCCTCCATCCAGGAACATAGCAATTCTGAAAATATGTAACAGCAATTTAGTAAACGTAGCCCATCACCCCCACACTGCAGATGGGCAGGGCTAACATCGAAAAGTAACGGGTCCAACCACACACACAGAAGTGTGCAGCAGAGGAGAGAGCCATGAACCTCTTAGTATGCATCTCAGTCCCATATCAATGGCTAGAACAGTTCCCACGAAAAGTAAGAAACTGGTCAAGTGGTGCTTGGTTGAACAGTGTGCTTTTTGCCCATCTCACAAAGGCAGCTGTATTACTGTCACTCCTCTCTTGAGGGCTATTCATTTTATGTGCTACACTCAAAACTCAAGGTATGGGTGGAATGTTCAGCATTCATATTCCAGTAAGACAAAGGAAGCATGCAACAAACAGCACAACAAAAGCTTTCAGAAAGAATGAAGTACCACCAAAGCTTCAAAAAAAAGGATGGACACCATATTGACCACAAAACGGCAATTTGATGCACTTGTGATACATTTGGAGTGAAGAGGAGCTCCACCCTGGTACAGAAGATGACCCAAGCATCCTAGAGGGAAGGCTCACTTTTATTTGCCAGGCTAAATCAAGTGGTTGTAGAACCAGATGGGGGGCAGGGATGTCAGCACCTGATGCACATTAACCGCTTCGTTTCCCTGCACCAAACTTCAGTTGACTGAAGTTGTCATCTGCACTTGCGTATCGGCTGCCTGAAATGTATGCACCCCGGTTCAACAATGGCTTCCATTTTCTAATTGGATGGAAGCTCCTATGTGGGAAAGAAAGCCCATCAAACAGGAAAGAGTCTCCAGAAGCTACAGGATACCTATGGATTGTGGCATCTGTACCTTGGCTTCAAGCACCAGTGCTGGGAGCAGAATGGAGCCAGAGCAAGCAGTAATGTGTACACAGGAATCTGTTTAGTAAATAACATGTGACCATTATCCCCCTTTTATCATTGTTGACCTCTTAACAAGCTTCATTTTAGTTAGCTACAAGGGCTTTAACCAAGGTTGAAATTATCCAAATTCCCAGGTTACATAGGCAGAACAAAATAGTCTGAGAGGGGAAGAAAAGGTTCTTTCAAGCCACAAGATTTTGTATATTAAACATGGTGTTTTTCCTGCAAATGACAGATTTTTAAAAACAAAACAAAACCATTTGAAAAGGGAGAAGTAACAACAACTACAAAAAAGCCCACAGCTTCCTCTCTCCATTGCACATTACCTCATTTTATCTCCTATTGAAAAATTCATAAGAAATGAGATATCCATAAAGATACTTAAACTGTACCTCTTCTGAGTTAAGTAATGCCTTTGAAAAATGCACAGCCCATCATTCCAAGCAGCTGAGCAATTGCTTCTTATATACAGCATGGAAGTGGGGAAAGGAGAGGAAAACTTTGCTGTGATATAAGATGGCGTTGTGGAGCAGGATGAGCACACAAAATAAGGCACAAAACCAGTCCCATGTGCTTAGGTTTTCCCCTCTGAGATCAATGGAACTTGGGCTGGGATCATATACCCACTCCCCTGGAGAAAGGAAGCCCCACTGAAGTCAATGGGGTTCACATCAGATTAGATATGTCTTGGGTTGCACTGCACCCTTAACCTTCACTCCAATGCATTACTTAAAAATCAGTGATAGCTTCTCAGATAGAATAGTGGCTTCGTACTTGCTTGTGGTGTATCAGAGCATAGAATCAACAGTACAGTGGTACCTCGGGTTACATACGCTTCAGGTTACCGACTCTGCTAACCCAGAAATAGTGCTTCAGGTTAAGAACTTTGCTTCAGGATAAGAACAGAAATCATGCTCCGGCAGCGCGGCGGCAGCGGGAGGCCCCATTAGCTAAAGTGGTGCTTCAGGTTAAGAACAGTTTCAGGTTAAGAACAGACCTCCAGAACGAATTAAGTACTTAACCCGAGGTACCACTGTAAAACAATTACAAATCACCAGTAAAACAACAACCTTCTATAAAACAGTGTAAACACTATTAACAAAACAATGAAAAGTATAAGCTAAACAGCACAACCACAAGAAAGTCGTTTCATAAGATTCACAAAGCATTACAGCACTCATAATCCACAAAGCAATATTGACCACTTTAGCAACCTTACAACGGAAAAATAAAGCATTGCTGAATTCCTGTGGCTCATAGTCTTCCACTCAGTTCACCAAAAGAGACACACACATAATACCCATGGCTGCAGCTCTGTTCTGAAGGCTCCTAAGGCTGGAAGAAAAAGCTGTTGCCCGATGCCCATTTCCGATGCTCTTTGTTTATTGAGTGCCAATTCTTGCCTGCTTTGCCTATAAATAAAACCAATGTATTTGCCCAGAAAACGGTTGCCCGTGTATGTGTACCTGTGGCATAGAGTTGGACTGAGCCAGGGACCAGGCAAGCAGGGAGTGGGCTATAATTCTGGGTTTCAAAGACCATGAGAAAGAGACTTCAAAAGACCTTCTACCCCAGCAGACTTCCACAGACTGTCGCCTGCAAGATTTTTCATATTTATATGATATTTTCTGTCCCAAATAAGTCCCCCGCACGACTACTTATGAGTTGCATCCTAAAGTAATAAGAACATAAGAATATCACTGCTGGATCAGGCAAAAAACAATCAAGGGCATCCTGTTCTCACATTGACGGGGCGGCCAGAGATGGTTTGGTACCTTTCCCTCAAGGAAATACAACCTCACCACTGGGAGGTGGTGGAGCAAGGGCGCCTGGAACACCAGCTCAGCAAGAGGGAGGCATTCCAGAGAGCTTTGCTGCTGGTCTCCCTCTGCCCCTAGGGGCACAGAGAGACCAGCAGGGCAAAGCTAAGTGGCAGAATGCTGTGCTGCTCTACTGCTGCCGAAACCTCCCTTACCTGGATTGCTTCTCTGCTGGCAGCGGAAGCAGTGGAATGGGCATAGCACCAGTGGAGAGGTTGCCTCTTGCATTGTCCGCCACCTCAGGCGGCTGCTTCACCCAACCTCATGGGTGGGTCGGCTCTGCACATTGGCCAACCAGTTGGTTTGGGAAGCCCACAAACAGGGCCCAAATGCAACAGCATGTCTCTCCACGTGATTCCCAGCATACTGCCTCTGACACTGGAGGCAAAACACAGCTATGATGCCTAGAATTAGTTCATGAATTAGTCCAATTCTCTTTTAAAGCTATCCTACTAGATGTTTGTCACTACATCTGGCAGGAACTAATTCTATAGTTTAGTTACGAAGAAGTGCTTCCTCTTACCTGTCCTGAATCTTCCAACCTTCAGCTGTATTCGATGGTCCTGGGTTCTAGTCTATGAGACAGGGAGAAAAACCTCTCTCCTAGCCATTTTCTCCATAACATGCATAACTAGGGAGAAGCAATTGAGAACAAAGGTGTGGCTTGCCAATGATGCCTGTGGGAAAAATAATTGTATTAGGTCCTTGTTAACAGAAGAGGTCCATTACACCTTATTTCGTGCTATATTGTTTTTGATTTCCTTTGCAATGGCAGAGTGGAGCTATATTATGGCATTACTCCTTTAACAATGTAGCCTATATGAAAAAACCATATTCAGTTACAGAGCACATTTGAGAACACAAGATCTTTCCTATTACTCTCTTTCTTTTACCATCTTAATTGGTGTGGATTTATTTACATCCATTAGCTTCTCCAGGGTGATCTGTATGCTTTCAATGGTACAGAAATCCAGATAATGAGGTTTTGTCTAAGAATAGCATTCAACAGCTCCCAGGGATTTTCATTAGCCTGTAAGAAACACAGATGGCCAAGGATGCTGTTCAAATACATATCTGAAGACAACGGAACTGGGTTCAAATCCTTCCTCTTAGCCTTAACCTGATAAACAGGAGCACAAGAAACCTACATTTGTGCTGTTGTTAATGTAGTCAAGGTTTATTGATTATTTTTTTACTCTATGTCATCCCAAGGGCTTGAGAAAAACAAAAGTACGGTCACCACAACATAGAACATACATCATTTGCATATTCTGTTTGAACCAGACATAACACACAGACACTGTACAGATGACAAATGAGGCCACAGTGCTGGAGCAAAATAGCCACAACTTCATTAGATTGCCAGAGAATTGATCAGAACATTGCCATATAAAAGAGGGCAATAAAATGGGGGTGGGGAGGGAGGGAGATGCTATTGGTATCGTGCTTTACTTGTGGAAGCCCAATTGAGGCTTACCATGTGTGAGGCCATTTATAAGGTCCCAGAAATCTTGCTTCAAAATCTTGCGAGACCTTTAAATCCTGGGTCTTGCAATATTAGTGCTGCTGAGAGCCATAAGTCCTGCCATTGCAAGCCCTCGTCAGTTTATCTGACTGGGGGACAAGAGCAGCACACAAAACATTTCCCATTGTCCCATTGATTTCCTCCCTTCTGGAGGTGCTACCATGGAATTGGGGTGGCTGGGCTTGCATCTGATCAGCTCCTACAGGACTAGGAAGTCCCTTCATGTAGGAAGAAGCCCACATGTCCCTCCTCCACCACAACTTCCTGTAATGTACGCTACAAGGACCTGGCATGCATAGTCTTTCACCATACAAAGGAATTCTGTAGCCCTGGTGATTATATAGACTGGGTAGTTACCTTCCGAGTGGTCAGGGCACTGCTAAAGATACATGTGAGTCTTTGGTCCAGCTGGTAATATAACATAAACACAGCTTTAAAGAATATTACTGGACAGTCTTAAATAAATTGCAGTAAATAAAAATAAATAAAACTCCTAATTTGGCGTGTATGTTTTTAATGAAGGTAGTGAATATGGAAATTTTATTCTATCAAATAGAAACTAGGGTCCATTACAGTTATGTAAGTGTAAGCCTCATTGAATTCAATGGAGTTTGCTTCCAAATAGACATGCATGAGATTGGCTCTGAAGTAGGTGGCTCAGGCAGAAACTAAAGCCTTAGAGAATAAATCAAAGCCCGTGATTATGATTTAAGGTGCTTAATGGCTCCAGCAGAAGGAAGTACACCGTGCAATCTGTGTGTCTGATTTTGCCTGTGAGGTAGCTAGTTGCCTTTCACCACAGGTGCTCCATGAAAAGATACTGTGGGGAGCCAAACCACAAGTGGACACAGTTGCTCACAGCCTGTTTCTCTGGCTTATGTAGTGTGGGCACATACTTTACTGCATCTTGAAGCCTTGTTGCCTTCTACGGTAATGTGTAAAGCAACGGCCTCCATTCAGTACACCCTATGCCAAGTAGTACTAACTTTGATCTACCTTAAATCAAGAGTTTCAGAATCTTGCTTTATCATCAGGTCAATAGCAAATATCAGCTTTTAGAAGCAGACATGGTGTCCTCATTGGTAGGGTTATTTTTCTTTTGAAGGCATATAAACATTTTGATAGCTGTCTTGATATAAAAAAAAATGTTCAAAGATTATTTTTCATGGAGTAAAAGCAATTTATGGCGATGTTTCGCAGACAGATCTTCATGCGCATATTGCGCATATGGGAGATCTCAATTATGTCCATTTGGTAGTGGTTATATTAAGATATTATCCTATCTTGTTTCAGTATAATCCCTTGAAGCAAACTGCCGCAACTTTGCTCGCAATGTGATTTTCATTAAATCACTCATCTGCACTGACTTCCAGAGCACTATTTTTTTAAAAAAAAAATCAATCCATCATACTTCAGCATTCTTCATAAACTCATAAATCAATCAAGTTTCCCCAAGATTGAAGTATCTGCCAAGCTTCTTGTAACAGTTTATTACAGTTCGTTGATGATAATTGGGCAAAAATATACTATGTCTGTGTTTGGCTTTAAAAGAGCAGAGGCATTTGAAGTATTTCATACAGCAAACAGCAGTTTCTGCCCTTTGAGTCCAAGAAAATTAACGGGGGGGGGGGGAGGGAGAATCATAGTTCACTGTTGACAACTCCCTACCCCCCAAAGAAGTGCTCAGGAACCTGCTCTAATTGCCTGGCTCACTGAGCTAGCGCTCACATGTTAGGTGGCAAATGTATTTCCTGTGTGTATGCCAGGATTTTCTGCAACAAATATGCAGTGATCACACACACACACACACACACACACACACACTTTAAAACATCTATGTATCTGGGAATCCTAATTTGGGGCAACTAAACATGTTATGAAGGAAACACAACTGATGCATATGCAGCTCAGCAAAAGTTTAAGTACCCCCAAATTATTATAGCTGTTTAACGTTTTCTGAGCACAAGAACCATCCAGACCCAAGCCCATCATCTTCAGGGATATATATATATATTCTTCAGGGATACACACAAACACACACACCACACTTAACCATTCAATTGTAGCAAATCTAAAAGGCAGGATAAAAATTTAAAACCCTAGCTAAATTATATGAAATGCTTATTTGTTCAATGCCCCTTTGCGTACCTTGGAGAATTTAGAAAACAGCAGAACAGCCAGAGAATATTGTGCTCACTGAAGTATGCTAAAGTGAAATGAATGTCAGTTTACATAATATGTCCAATTACTTTTATGAATATTTCCCTTTTTTAGCACCATAATGGCTTATAGTCAGACTATTAGAAATGTAATTAACATTTACTATTGGATAGCTTTATCTCTTTGCCTTGTTGTTACAGCGAGGCCAACATACTGTTTACTCTTCAGTTCTAGCCCAGGGGATCTACTCAGCAGATTGTACAGTTTAAGAAATTAGCTAAGCCCAAAATAGTTCTTTTATTTCATAAAAGGTCAGGGAAGCATGATTTATAATTCTATAAATGTACTTGAAAACAAAACAAAACCATAGGTCAGAGTCAAAATGATGTATTTTATTGGGCCAACTGCATTGATTAGGAAAGCTGGGATACTATAAAAATTAAAAAAGCCTTGCTCCACCAACACAATTATTCCAAGAAAAGAGCACCATTTTAGATCTCCCTGTTCCCACTTTCCTGGAGACCAACACAGCAGTCAGTCTTTTTTTAAAAAAAAAAATTAATCATTTTTTCGATACAAACATGAATTGCAAAAGACACATACAACAAAAACCATAATAACAATAAAAAATTTGACAATTCAGATTTGAATACACTGATATGCCTATGACTACACCTTTTTAAACAATATTTTCCCACCTCTCTCTCCTCCCCCTACTTCCCACCACTATCCACCTTATAGCTTAAATATTCATTCCAGATTTCTTCATATTTATCCATTCTTATTTTGCGTCGACATGCAATTCATTCGTATGTAGCTAATCTGTCCATATTATCAATCCATGTACTCAATGAAACACAGCAGTCAGACTTATAACGAACACAGAAGTTTATTGTTCATACTCATTTTATACAATATTTAAGTTTCTACATTTGTTATATATTTTTTTAAGTCTGACATACCTTGGAATAAAAAACAATACACATTTAGCAGCAAAACCACTATCTACCAGGTCATCCACAGGCATTTCAAGTACAAAACTATCCACTTAGCATTAGTGGAAAATGGAAGCATATTACTCCCAAACATAATTAAAACATGTAAACAAATTAAATAAGTTTTTTTAAAAGCCTCACACAAATAGTAACTCCACCTACATCGTTGAACCTTTAACAGAGTACCCAAGGCATTATTAACAGTTTGCACATGCAATAGTGATGAGGCATGATTAACTGCAAGTTCTAGGCAGGGTGAGGTTCCACTTCCACAGCTAATGTAGTTTGCCCTCCCCTGACTTCAAAGTTGATTGCAATTAGAGAGACTTAAGAGATGCACATTCAGCTCAAGTGCAACATCAAGCAACAAGACACAGATCAAACCCTGCAGAGTAAGCCTTCATATAAAATCATCTCAAATATTGTTGTGGTTGGTATCCGCCTGTCTCGAGAGACAACGGAGGAGTGTCTCTTTTTGAAATGGGGGCAGTTCACATGTTCAGCTGTCATCAAGCAGTAAGCCACTGCGGGGTAAGACTGTGAGTGATGGACATGCATATGTAAAATCATTCCTTAAGAGCTTGATCAAAGGGGGCAGGGGGACAAATTGAGGAACTTTCAATACGGTATGAGAGATTATTAGACAGCATTGTTATCATTTTTTTTATTCCATTCTCTCTCCAATGATCTTGCAGTTGTGTGCTTGAGGATCATCCCATTTTATTCTCACAACAGCCCTGTGAAGATAAGTTTGGAGAGAGAGACTGGGCTCACGTCACGCATTGAGCTTCATGGGTGAGCACAGATTTGAAGTCAGGTTCCCTGCAATCCGTGTGTGTGTGTGCGCGCACACACACACACACACACACACACACACACAAACACACACACAAACACACACACCACCCTGGCTCAACTGCACATGGGCAAAATGAGGCTACCCTGGAGCCAATATCATACCTGTAAGCATTAGCTGTTTGGGAAAATAATAAAGCGCGAAGAAGTTGGCGGCACTACTTTGCTTCCCTGGCACTTCTTGCTGGACATTGGCTGGTAGATATATAAAGGCATGAAAATAAATCCAGGGCATCCCTCTTCCAGGCAAAAATGCACCTTCAGTTTTCCATCTGAACATGTCTCATGGTGAATAAGAATTACTAGAATTCCACTACAGGGAAATTTATTGAATTTGATTTCTTATGCTATGAAAGGGTACTGTGGCATTCTTTCTGCCTCAAGGAGGCAGCTGGGTGAGAAGTGCAATATCTAAGGGTGATTATTGCATCTCTAATTGAGGAAGAATAGCTCCGATCCCAGCCATTCTGGGGACTCTATTCTCTCCTTGCTATTGAGGTCCATGAGCAAGATGCCACTTGCAGAAAGCTCTCTGTAGGCCTGTGGAGACTGCTCTTTATCAGGCAGAGATCCCAGCATGAGATCTCAAGCACATATGCACCCCATACTTAGTGCCTCACCACAGGGAAGGGGTCACATCTGATTCAAACCGTGTTGCAAGAGTTTCTTCTTTTCTCTCCCTGCACCCCAAATGCTGCATCCAAATCCCACATTTTTTTCCAATAATCGATCCGAGGGGTCACGGAGATCCCAATGGTTAAATAAAGATGTCACAGTCTAGATCAGATGCTACCCTCCCTGTTACGAAAGGGTTCGAGGTGGCGGATTCAAGCTTGATACTCCTTACCACTTGAGCTCTCCCCCCAGTAACGTCTGAGCTACACAGGCAGATCTGTGCCTTTAAATGCAAGTCTGCCCCATCGTCTGTGCCCCAGAAGTCCATAGAGCTTCAGGGATTGCAATGAGAACACCAGCACCTCCCCTTTGCTTAGATTGTGCCACTGTAACACCACCCCAGATTGTTCCTTAATTATATAATGGGACTAGCTACTTCCAAAGATCTAAATGTTTATAAATCTTAGGGAAGCTATTGCTTTTTTCAAGATGGTGTACATGTCAAATGGCCAAAGAAGAAGAATGGGAGCCAATAATTTTGCTCCCATTCAGCCATGTTTTGAGATTCTGAAAATACATCAAGAAGGAACGGTGATTTCCTTCCTAAGAATTTTGTACAGTTTCTGCATGAGGAGCTGCCCCTCCCCTGATAGGAAGATACAATGGTTTGACAATGTGGATAAAAATTCAATTTAATTAACTTCAGAGGATAAACTCTGTGGCTAAGAGCTGTCTTGCAAGTTCAGTCACAGTCACAAATGCTTTAGAACTGCATTTGCTAAATCAAGGCATCCTCTATGGACGTATTTCATGGAGCTTCACTGTGCTAGTGTGGCTTGCTAATCAAATAAAGATGTAGGAATTTGGAATGCTTTGCACATTACTAATCTGTAGTTCAAGGCATGGAATAAAAAGCAAATATCAATAAGCTCAGCATATTCCTGAGAGACTTAAAATTGAGAAGATTGCTTAATTGGCACTCCCCTACTGCTAACAGAAATATGCCAATTAAAAGGATTCTGCTATACTCATTAAGGGATTAGAGAGCATTAATGTCATACTAACCCTCTGCTACATTATCTTTATTCTGTTCCTCTAAGAGTAGCTAAAAAATAAAACAGGTGATCCTGAAATTATAGCTCCTCCAAACTATATAATGTACTTTCTATGTTACACAACTTCACAATGAAATGAACTAATACATAGGTTAAAACCGTACCTGATCAGATTTCATTAAGACGTTAACACACAGTAAAATCTTGTAATCTAACATAATTCATACAATCCAGTCTAACTAAAAAGAAGCTGCCATTTTTGCATTCAAATTCAAACACTTGAAGAGGAAAACATTAGGATTTTAAACAAGCCGAGATATATATAGAAATTTTAAAACACCTTTCAAATTTATACACACCCTGTTTCAGTTTAAGCTTATTGTTCTGGGGAGGGGAAATCAATTTTATTTGAAAATGTGTTCATTTCCTCTACCTAGTTTCTGCTTGCAATGCAGAATTTCTTTTCCTACAGATATGAATGTGTGTTGCTTTCTACAATTCAGACATAGATCACAGAATTGTAGGGTTGTTATCTAAATGTTATTATCTAAAATACTAAAGAAAGAAGTTTCTCTCCCACCCGTCAATGAGGAGTGAATTCTGATGCTGTCATTTTAGAATACAACAGAAAACATTAACAGCCCAAACTGGCATGGGGGTCTTCAAATGTCTAAGAACAGTGGACTTGACTATTGTCTCAGCCCAGCACTCATGCATACACAGCTACCTCATATTCAGGATTACTACTGCACAAACAAAACCAGGAAAATAAAGAGAATATATCTAAGAAATGTAATCTAAGAGATACTTGTTCACTGTGCTAATAAAGCAATAAAAGGTTGTTGTTGTTTTTTAAATGAAAGACTAGAAGACTCTGCATATGCTTAAATTACCAGGTAAGCCCAGCTACAGAACCTGGGAAATCCTGACGGACTAGAAATGTAGTACAAAGCCCTGGGGGACTGGGCAAGGGAATGAGTTTTATTACAGGTCGCTCCCACAGGGATTTCAAATCGCATCTGACACTGCACAATTCACCTGACTTTGGAAGCACTACGGGAAACGCCTTACAAACTCTAGCTGTGTGTCACTTGGGCAGGGGTGGGGTTAAAGCTAGAAGAAGGGGGAAAGAACAAAAGAGCTTCACAAGAGGATGGGGTGGTAAACAAGCAGGCCTAAAGGTACTTTTATTTTCTTCAAACTCTTTTGTAAGACCATTCATTAAGAGACATTCCTATTACTGTGAGGGTCTAGAGTCTGGTCCCATAGACTTCTATGGGCAGAGGCCAACAGCATCTGTGATTACTCCTGACAACACAAGGAATAATTTTATTCTCCTCGAGTTAAGTGCCTGCTCAAAAACCTGTCGTAAATTTGAGATTGGATATTTGAAATGCAATCTGGGGGAAATGTATGGGTTGAGTTATTAAAGATCATACAGATGTTTTGGAGGGGGGGAAAGAACAGTTTAAGTCTATCAGAAGGTTCTCCATCGTTAAAAAAAACAACCCTGCTGATTTGTATCTTTGTTGAGGAATCTCTTTACACACTGGCGATGTCAAGCAACAATTTGGGGACAGGATGGAAGGAGAGGTGTTTCCTTTGCTATAATCTCAAGTTCACCTGGTTGTGTGTTGAAAATAAATATGTTAACACTTCAGGAACTCTGGCGAAAGACAGATAGTGAACATGGTCAACACTCCCTTTGCCCCCGTAATTCTGAGCAAACCAAGCACCAGTCCTACACCTGCGAATGAAAACAGATTCTAGGCTCAAGCATCTCTTTGACTAACTTCTGCCTAGGAGCAGGAATGGGTTTGTCGCTATTATCAACCTTTGTACCTGAATCGGCAGGATTTTCATTGTCAGCGAAGTTACCTTTCTGCCAAGGAGTTGGTTTGCGGGGAGCTGCAATAGGTTGTTTGAAGTGAGGAACAGAAGATGAGATGGAATCAGGAGAACTGTTCTTATGAGGAGAATTATTCCAGATGTTTTCCTTGCCCAATTGATCTGACATTGTCTGTGCTCCTGTGGTGTATGGCGGCTTATCAGATGGTGGAAGGGGTGCTCTTCTCTTCTTGCCCTTCCCTTCACTAGGGCTTATGGCCTCTTCTTTTGCTTCTGGAAGCAGGCTTTTCTGCACAAGCATGTGGTGAGAACCGTCAAACATGGCTGCCCATGAAGGTGGCAAATGTTCTTCTTGGCCAATCGGCAGCTCCCCATTGACTTCGTCAACTTTTCGTTGCACTGTATCAGGGAACGCTTCATGTTTTACTGGGGAATCAATGCCTATCACATTTTAAAAGACAACATAAAATTCTTATTACATTGATACTTAGCTGCGTTGTTGAGCCCAGTGTTTAAACCTTACCACGACGATATAAAAACATGCACACCTTTATGGAAAACAAGACCCTAAAATTGTCCTGGGCAGCAGAAATTCCTGTACTTTTACACATCAACAAAACACACACCATAATATTATGAATGCAGCCAATTATGGCTCTACTGTCCACTGTACAGCAGGCTTCATTAGGTGGAATACTTTACCTTGTAAAATCAGCAGCAGGAGGTTAAACTATTGTGGATCTTCATTAATTTTTACTGAATTCTTAGCACTGTCCAGGGAGCAGGGAGATTATATTGAATGCCAATGCCTACCATGAACCTCCTTTCATTTTGAAGAGGATAAATGTGGTTTATTACTCGTTTTCTTTAAAAACTACAATGCAACTTTCATGCTGTACCTCCATATTTGACTCTTGATTTACTTGTGGCCACTTAAAACACTGTTCAAATATTACTCTGCTTCGAGACTGTTTCAATGCACAGAACAGTAATCAATATAACAATTTTTATAGCCTCAAGGGCAGGGGGTCAACAAACTGTTGCTGGGCTTGGGAGCAAACCATTATTTTCTACTGCTAGTCAGCTGCAAAGTCAATTTTATTCATAACATGTCCTAGAAGAGTCAGGTAATTTTAGACTGATCAGAAAGATGGTTCTAATCCCCTTACCAGCAGAGGCAAATGGGGTGTTCTTATAATATAGCTGGAATAGAAGCATCCAGAAACAATAATAATACTTCACACGTATATAACAACCCAAATGAGGGATCAGACAATGGGAGAGAATGCCTTGCTTACAATACCCCTGTGAGTTGCCAAAACCAAGCCAATGGATTCAAATGATAAGAAAGGAGATTCCAACTAAACATTAGGAAGAACTTTCTAGCATTAAGAGCTGTTCACCAATGGAACAGTTTACCTTAGAAGGTGGTGGATCCTTCTTCACTGGAAGTTTTTAAACAGACATTGGATGGCCATCTGTCAGGGATTCTTTACCTGTGATTCCTGCATTGCTGGAGTTTGGACCAGAAGGCCCTCTATGATTGTATGAGTGAAGGCAGACATGGAATTCAAACCAGGAACCCCCAGTTTATTGCACAGCATCTTAGCCACTCTGCTTCTCAGGTCTGCGCTTGGTCAAGATGGATCTAACCAGTTGCAACATTATACATAGTAAACTAGAGAACAAGAAATTTACCAAACTGCAGATATCATGCAAAATTATCAGTTACTGCCAAACAGTTATCCAGCCTAAGAACAACAGGACTTACTGTCAGTTAATTGTGCACAGCGTTGAACTGAGTGCGGCAGCCCTGCGTGCAGCCACAAAAACTGCTCCCGAGGTTTGGGGAACCCCATGAGAACAGATTTTGGAAACATGTAGAGGGCTCGGGTGGGGGAATAAGGTTGGATTCCTCCTTCACTGGGGGGGGGGGGGAATGAGAGTTATGCAAGAACAGAAATTGATTCAACCTCCACACAGATTATAAAACAGAGGCACAATAGGTTGTGTCCAGTGTTGCTTCAAATACCCTGCTATCTCCCACTTACTCATATCTTGGTAAACTGAAGTAGCCTCTTTCGTCAAGAACAATGGTGGTTTCCGTGGTGACATAATCTCAATTTTCATGAATTCTTCACAACAGTGTTTCCACTGGCCTAAAAGGAAATCAGAAAGCAATGAGAGGAAGTAAAAATACGCCACTTTTTGTAATTTTATCTGGTTAATAATGCCCCAAATCGGGAACTGTTTCATAAATGCTGCATTAACTCTTTTACAATTCCTCCAGATTGCTAGCTGACGAAGATCTGGATGCTTCCAATAATGCCATAATCTCTCAAGCAAGTACTATACCTTTGCAGTGGCAAAGTAAGCTAGGAACAAGACAATCAATTCTCACAGCATGACCAAGTCCCAATCTTTACAATTTATACCTTAATACTGTTACTGTCAGATATTTCAGCTTGACATAAATATTCATTTATTTTATTGCAAATCACTGTGATGGAAGGGGAAGAAGAGGCGCACTGAAACCTCAGTAGAAGGCTCTGCTCAGCAGTATAAACAGTTATGAGATGTATTGGGGGGGGGGGGGAGGAACACACAGGAAACTTTTATACCACCCCGCTAAAACATTTCCCCAATAGATGGTTTCCCAATCGTCTTCTTTCCGAGCCTCCAGAATATCAAGGGAATAAAGCAATGAAGGATCAGATTATCAAAGTTAAAAGATTTCCTGCTCTTCCTCTGAAGAACATACTACCTAATGTGCTGGAGAACAGAGAGCTTTTTTTATTTTATTCTACTTGCAAATGACAGGATTGTTATGCAATGTGAGTTCAAAATGTTCAGTGCATTCTTTGAACATACATAGGCACTCCTGTACAAAAGGAGACGGCGCTACTTACTGAAGTCATAGAAGTGCTGCCAGAAAGCTTCCATCCAGTTATAAAGGTCTTCCCGGCTTTCAGCTGCAAAAATCTGAGTCACAGTTTCACCAGCCTCAGGGTTGATAACAGAAAAGTTATTGGAGTTTATCGGGGTATCTTTATCCACAGCACGAATTCTGGTTTCCTAAATGTTATATAAATACAGAGTGAAACTATAATGTTCTCTCTCTCTCTCTCTCTCTCTCTCACACACACACACACACACACCAACTTTAATGAAACAGAAAAATCATAGGTTACTTGACAGTTGTCAGCTAGGCACTATTTAGTTTCATGACTGCAATTTTCAAGGTGATGTTATATGGACATTAATTCTGCTTAAAGAAGAACTCAAATTAAAAAGGTATGCATTAAAGTAAGCATATTTAGAACATATTTCATAATGGGCAGGAGGAGACATCATTTGGATGGTTCTAAACAGAATTGCTTTCTAGATTGCTCAGATTCAGAAAATTGAGGCATATTTCATATCAGTTAAATTAAAAGAGTAAGAGAAATCATTCGGTATCAATTAAAGTGATATCTGTTGCTGACCTGATTGAATTATCATATTGACAAACTTTCCCCAAGTAACCTGTACGATGTTCCCATCTACTCACAGGCATATCCTTGAACTACTCTGTCTTCATGTCTTGTACTTGTTAAGAACACCAAGACTAGTTTCACTTCCTGAACTGGCTTCAGTGCTATTTTAAACATATATTGCAGCAACAATGGAGAAACCGGAGCTCTTTAAACTGTCCAGTACACCTACAAGTCTAACTGCATTGTTGCAACCCAATTTTCTGTGATTTCCAAAAGTAGGTCTGTCAACCAAGAGATTCTGAGATGTCAATTAGAGCTCCTCCCCCCCCTTCTTTGCAATCAGTTACATTTTGCAATGACAGATTTATTCAAGAGAAACTGACTAAATCCAAAGAGGTACATAAACTGAGTAGTATCCAGAGAAGCATTGGGGGGGGGGGTGGAGTCCATTTGCACAGTTAAGTTTACTGCTTAATCCATTTCTTCTGCAGCTCATTCCATCACCTGAAAAGCCACTCTTGAGGATGTGAGTGGAGCAGGGGCAGCTCCATTTGCACTCTGGATTTCAGTCACTGTTTAGACCAGGAGTGGCTAACCTGTGGCCCTCCAGATGCCTCTGAACTACAACTCCTATCATCCCCAACCATTGCCCATACTGGAGTCCGACAACACTTGGAGGGTCACAGATTGTTTAAAGCTAGAAAACATTTCCCCACAGAAGTTACCCTGCTTGCCTGGACACATTTTCCATTACCAGCTCCTTTACAACTGGAACACCATCTGTGAGAATGCTCTTTACAATGTACTACAAGAACTGTTTGCTCCCACTTGGACCTGCCCAGGTGTTCTCCAAGGGTTCCATTGTGAGTTCCCCTACTGTCGGAGGCAAGGCAGGTGGGGCCTTTCAGTGATGAGGCCTCCATCTTCAGAGTGCCTCTCTTGGCATATTGCCTGGCAGTTACTATTGCTCTTTCAGTGCCAGGTCAAATATCTTTTTATGTATGCAGACTTTTTAGATGTTGTTTGAACTAGCAGCTTTTGCTTTTACTTGGCTCTGGTTTTGCTATTTTACAATTAGTTAGCATATTTCTGGTTACAATATTTTTAATCTTTGATCTGTGAGCTGCTCTGGGAATAGCTGTGTGGTGGCACAGATGAAGACTAAAACAGAATTACCTGAATTAAAAAAACAACCCACCACCCTAATCATGCAGGTGAGAGCTGATAATATGGAGCCCAAACCTGGAGTCTGCATTGATTTTGTGGTTTGGGCCAACATGATCAGACCTTGCCCACGCAGCTGGGCCATTTAAACATTATCCAAGATTCTCACAGAAAGGCCATGCTCTTATGCAGCCAGTGTGACCTTCACATTCAGTTAAGAACACACCTTTAAAAGACAACTCCTGCAGCCAAGCTGGTGCCAAATATATTGCTCTGCTTTCCTTTGGACCACATCAGTAAGGGTGAGGGGGGTGGGTCTTGTCATCTGGGCAGGACAGGACCTCCAAAAACACTGCTCAGGCTTACACCCCAGGGCAGTGCTGCTAATGCACGGTTGGACTTCACCCCCAGGGGCACGCTCCATTGTCTCTTGAGACGCACGAATGCCAACAACAGTTATTCTGATTAAGTGATGCATGCTTTGAGACCTATTTAAAATTAGGTTGCAATTCCACAAATGGTTTCACGTGCCCAATACCCCATTGATTGCAATCGAATTTACCACATTGAACTGAACAAGACTGCAACCTAATTATCTCAGGCACAATTTTTTTTGATAATTCATGTCATCCAACTATCTCACCATTGCAAAAACAAAAATAAACCTTCTTCACAAGAAGACAGACATTAAACCCATCTCTTTATAAAGCCAAAAAACCTACTACTGTAGTTATATAGACAGGAGGACTTCTCCGTTCTTATTTAATCCCATTTCACTTCAAACACATTCTGTGGAATGTCTGTCAGTTCACACCTGTAAAGATTAAATATGTAACTAGGAAAAGTAAGTCACATATATTGTCATGGGGGTAGGGGTGCGGAATTCCAGGGCTGACAAGTCTTTGAAAAATCTGCAAAATATTATTGATGGGGGTACATTTTAAAAAATACCGGAGGAGCTGTTTGAAATACAAACACAGCTGTTTGTAGCATATCTGATGAATTTGCTCATTTAAATTTTTCATTCTAAAAATAGGAGATTAAGTAATTCATCCATAAATGCTGTGTCCTATTAATGCAGGTAACCATAGATACCAGTATAAAATTAAGTCAAATAGATTTACATTTGACAGGTTAGAACTTGAAGCAACCCAGTGACATAAGTTCATTTAGTGTTTGCTATGTATCTTATGCCGCAAATGCATTTATAAAACAAAAGTGATTCTCAAGTAAGAGGCATTTTATACTTCATTTGATTATTTAAGTGATGGAAGATGCTAACTTCAGCAGTAATAGGTCGGTATGTTTCTGAAGCGGTAATACATTATGCAACAGATGGGATGTATCCAAGGAACTGCATATTAAGCATGCTATTTAAAGTGCCCACAAGCTCTCTCCAGCATAACACGCAGGTCTAAATGTACTGTCAGTCCTTTGACACAGTACTGTCCCCACTTTTGACTAAGAAATAGTGAATACACTTGTCTCTCAGAGACTAAACAAACAACTTAAGGTGTGGCAGTGTATGCTAGGTCTTTCAATTAAGTGGAGACTGAGGTTGAAATCCTAAACTCACTGACTGGGGAGTAAGCCCTATTGAACAAAGTGGACTTGCTTCTGAAGAAATGTGAATAGATTTGATCAACCAGTACTCTCCAAAATTTATGGAAGTCGATAAGTTATTAGCCCCTTGGATTAAACATCTTGAAAGATGTTGCTCAATCTATGGTTTAGTTACCTGCCCTCACATGGTTCACTCAAGCAGGATGTTCTAGCACAGAGGTTTCCAATTATACCATCTCAGTACTGGAAGGTTGCTGTGTTCAGGTCCTACCATTCACACTTACCTGGCAGTGGTATGGGTGCTGCTTCCCTGAAACCTCTTCCTATAGCACTTTAGGACAGGTTGAATATAGAAACCACATGAGTGAACCAACTGCACAGTTCTTTCCCACAATTAATGAAGGAAGGAAGCATGAGTTTGCCCCATTCATGTAATTCCTATCTAAATCATCTCTCCTAGATACACATGAATAGATACGTATGATGCCTTCCAGTATCCTGTTGGTTACTGATGTGTGAGAAAAAGAAAGAAAGAAAGAAAGAAAGAAAGAAAGAAAGAAAGAAAGATGCCAAAAACTAGGTTTTAAATTCTGTACTTAAGCATATGTGACATGGAGACAGAAGAGAATCTTCCTCATTTGTCTTTTGCATATACTTATATATGGTTCCCAACCTTTTTTTGGCCATGCCCCACCTAAGCATCTCTAAAATCCTGATCCCCCCCCCCCCCCGTAACATATAATTCTTATTATTCCAAAAGTGAACTCCTATTCACGTGGAAGAAGCCTAAAAAGCCATTTACTGTTAATAACTCATTCTCAAATTGCTTTCCTTAAAAATCAAACTGACCCTCTGTGGGGTGTGTGCCCTACATTGGGAACCACAGATTTATATAAAATATATGGAGCCTTTATGGCAGGGGGCAATCTCCCCATGGATCAAAAAAAGTAAAACTTGTAGATGGCTGTAGTATCAATGACCTAAAAAGCATCTTTGCATTAGTAGCAGAAAAAACACAAAACGAACTGTCAAAAAGAGCTGCAGTTATTGGTAGCTGAGGTTCCAATTAGAGACTCAGAAACTGTGCCCCTGAAGCTTTCGTGCAATGCTACCCTTAGTTCCCACACCTGGCATGGAAGGAACTCCATCACCTGAGACACAAATAGCATTTCCAGTTCAGCTTAACAACTTACAAAAGGAGCACTGTAACTTAGCTTGAGTAGCAGATGTTATATTTTACCTTGTTGACAGAAACTGTCAAAGTCGGCTCCACTTTAGCTTCTATTTCTTCTGGTGTACAATAACAAAGGAGTTTGCCACCTCTCAGTACACAGTATAGTTTCCTCCATCCAGTCACATTCCCTATCTTTTGCTGCAAGAAAGCAAACACAATTAGCATAAGTTTTACTTCCCAATGAACTAAATTTTCTTTGGGGAATAATGAATGATACACAATATGCATTAAGAAGAGACCACTCAGCTGCTCAGATTGCGGAGTTGTCCGTATAATAATTTGAGAAGAAAATTTCACACAAGAGCTAAAGCAAATATCACTAAAGACTTACCTGGTCATCTCATGATAGTTCGTAATGAGCTCAACAGTATTAATTATGCAAATAACTGTTTAGATGCAAATCTACCATTGTTAATGACATTATTTAGCTTTCTCTGGACTCAGCTAGAGTGGTAACGAAAAAGTGATTTATATGTGTTGTATATGCAATATAACATTGTGCCACCAGATGGCGATGTGGAGTCCTGTTTTTCTCTACCTGTTTTCCCTGTTTAAATTTACAACGCTTTAAACTGAAACACTTCTTTGATGTGTCTAGATGCAGCCTCTTTCTATAAATAAATTATATATACACATTTCCATTTTATGTTATTTATCAATCCAGTCTGCTCTTCTGCATTGTGTATCTTAAGTTCCAACATCCATTCACAAGGCATTTTAACATCTGAAGATTACTCACTAGCTTATGTCTTAATAATTTAGGTAAAATAGCTTGTTTAAAAAAACTAGGCAACTAGGAATTTTCACAGAAAATACTGAATTGCAATAAAGATGCAACATCTTTTATTCCATTAAGAGATCTTCAGAATTGAGAAGCAGTAGTACGCCCCCCTAAACAAAGTTAGTATAAAAACATGAGAGGGGGAAGTAAACACAAATGTTACTTGTGGCAACAAGAAGTCGTAAAAGGAACAGACACTTCTGTAAATAAGCCCATGAAACATCCATTAATTGGACATATTTAAGATTCCCAAATGATTAAATGCCCTTGCCCACCCAATAATGGTGGGCAGCAAATTGATTCTGGGTAGAATAGGCCGCTGTTTTTATAGTCACAGATATTCCTTCCTCAATATGCCAGTCACATTTCTGCTCTATTCACTAGAGCTCTGATTATTAAGATCAGAGAATAATCTATCTCCCCCAGTCTCCATGGGCTCCCAAGATTCTTTGCGAAATAATAATAATAATAATAATAATAATAATAATAATAATACACTCCACTGTGCAGGGGGTGAGTACAGTTGCTTCTGGGGCTAACTATATTTTTATGCATTACCTATAGGAAGGGTAATTCCATAGTGACCACTGTAACGATTGTAAGCTTCTTTACATAGCATTTTGCGTTTTAGTCAATATTATTTAACTCTTGTTAACATTAAACTATTTGTTAGTTAACTGCCTTGATCTTCCCTACAAAAGTACTGTAATCAAGGTGCCTGTTTAAATGCTTTTTTGTTATTGCATTTAAAAACATGTAACAGTTTTGCAACCTCAAGAATTTATCTGTAACTCGGGTAAATGTTTTCTTTAAAAGTATGTATCAAAACATTTTTCCATCTACAGCGATACACATAAAGAGCTAACATTTTATGTGCAAGTGTCAAACGTATGGTGATGTTTATTGGAAACTGTGAAGAATAGGGAAATGACCTGTGTCCAACATAACGTGGCACATGTTGCATGTAACAATTCATTGATATACACACAAACATAAATTCCTCCAAAGTAAGACCCTGTGCATGTGATACTGGCCAGCATCAAGTCCACGTGGGAAGATGTATTATTCAAGGTAATGTACACTTAGCAATGGCAACACCCTAATGATTTGTTTCTTTTCAACCCAGTGTTTATCATTGTAGTTATCATGTCACAGAAGTCCCCATTTTTTTTAAAAAAAAGAGGATTTCACATTAATGAATATAATACTGCATCACCTGGCTAACAAATTTTCCTTTCAATCTTCCAGTCTCAACCTCAACAATGACACAATTGCCAACTGACACCAGTAAGTCAGGGGACGTTTTTGCTTCTGCACTTTATTTCAGCATAATCATTTTCCTATAGGGATATTATTGCCCATGTTTGTGGTGTTTATTTTAAATCATGCTAAAATTCATTTACATTTTGTGTTCAAGGCTGCCTTCGACATTTTACAGGGTTGTACTGTTCCCTAGGGCAATGCAAGAGACCTTTAGCTCTTGAGGTGAATTTTTGTATCTGTGCATGTTCTAACCAATATTTTATTGGGGGGGGAGAGAATGCAGCTTCACCTTAAAAGATTGGTACAATGCATTACAAGATTGCCTAGCTAAAACTGAACATTACATTTCAATTTTTAACCTTGCATATGTTTACATCAACCATATATATATTATACAATTTACCTGTTGTCTAAGAAATCCAGTCATCATATCCTTGGTCATGCAGTATGGTTGAGCAATTAGACGACAACACAGGCTGCCATACAATGGAAGCCAAAAAGAAGATTCCTCTAAAAAGAAAGTCATGACCATTGCATATTGTTAGATTAGTCATTACTCAATAGGAATTATTTTTTTACCAATAGTTGATTACAAGACATGGAACAAAGACTGGAGCCTGCATTTGAATTTATTACACTGCAGGATGAGATCTCCATCGCACAGGACTAGAGAGAACCAAAGAACAGTAGACCGCTTTGGACAACAAAGATTTCTTTGCCAAAAACAGCAAAGAGAAGGTCAATTGCCTAGTGCATCCAACAACATGACAAAAACAGCACAGCTGAATCCACCCTCAGTTTATCCTCTTGTTTCTTCAGCATGATCTTAAACGATCATCACCTCATCATACACTTCATTTACCAAACAAATTCTCATCCCTTCCACCTCCTCATACAAAAGTCAGCTCGAGAGAGTCACTGGTCAGCTGCTGAATGTAGAAGGTGACAGGCATCCACAATAAAAAAAAGAAGGAAAAATGGAAGAATTTTGCGGCTTAATAAGTGTGTTAGATTGGAATGGCACTGTTCTGCTGTACAGGAATCCGGAGTAATTTGTTATGCATGTCTACAATTGTTCTAAGACTGTGAACCAGCACTCACATGGGTTTGTTATATTTTCAGTGGCGTTTTCATCCAGTATACATGACTAGAAATGCCAATATATTTTTTAAAAAACACACACCATGTAAACAGGTTTCATCTACTGCAGGAGAATTATATACATAAAAACACAGGGGGGTGGCATGGGCATTTATCTCACCTTTCCTAGTAGCATCTGTCTGCCCCATACAAATGCTGCTTTTACAACTCGTTCCAGGTTCTGGACCTCATACTCACTTGCCTCCAACTGCAACACTGTCTACTTAGCAAAGTGGGACTTAGTTTTGAGTGAATGTGCATTGGACAGAGATTTGGGGAAATTACAAGAGGTAGTTCGGGAGGCAGGGGGGACTATCCATCAAAAGTGTGAATTCTTTCCTTCCAAATGCTGTTAAGATAGCAAGGAGAAAAGCTATCTTCATACAGTTTGTAAGGTTTGGCAAAACATAAGGCAAGGAAAACAATCGCTACATTTGAGTACTATGAAATCAAGTTGGAATATTCTACTCATACATCATTTATCTTATTTACTCTGAACTTACCATCTCCCACAGCAGTAAGGTTGTGGGTCCTGAAATTGTTGTTGACACTCTCCAATCCCAAAGATGTATGTGCCAGCAAATTGTATTTTGCACCCCTGGTAAAGATAGGTTTGTTTCAGTATTGTGCACAAAACATCAAAGTTCAGTTAATTCAAAAGCAGCTGTATTTTTGATCTTTGCTCCTTATATTTAAAGTACATTTTGGAAACTGTGCTCACTAGACTTGGGTGCATACATGTAGTAACATTGCTCCATTGTGTGAACTGGGAGCCCCCTTTCCGGAATGGAGTTTGGTTTCTTTAACTTCTGAAGGCCCCTGGGCCCCCCACTATTTCAATTAGAAATGTATTTCTTACAGCTATAAACACTGATTGCCTTACAAGAGACCTGTTTTTTCCTTTCACTTTGGCTGCTGTTTGAGCCCATTATACACTCCAGTTCTCCCTATGTGCTGCTGCAAGGTTATAGGTTTCATCCTACTTTGCTCTGAAGGGGATTCCCCTTTTAGGAACACACTAGACATGGCTTTCAGCACATATATTTGTGTGGCATATCTGTTTTTTGATTAATAAATAGCTGGCTTGCCTGGGGATGGGGGGCAGAGATGGGTGGCAATCAAGGCTGGAACTGTGGTGTAGGGTGGGAATCAAGGGGCCTCACACCTTCTGGTTCACTGAGAGAAAAGCTCCTGGTTACACCCAAAGGAGTTCAGACCCTCCAAGTATCTCTATTTTCCAGGGACATCCCTGATTTAGAGACGCTGTCCAGGTTTCTGATTTAATCCCGGAATGTCCAACTTTTCCTTAGGATGTCCCTATTTTCACTGGAGAAATGTTGGAGGGTATGGAGTTATCCAACCCCCAAGCCGCCTGAAGGCAATACTGTATAGGGAAGTTTTTATGTTTAATAATGGCTTTATATATGTTGGAAGCTGCCCAGAATGGCTGGGGCAACCTAGTAAGATGTGTGGGGTATAAACAGTAAAATTATCATTATGGAATGGGACGTCCCTGTTTTCATTGGAGAAATGTTGAAGGGTATGGGAGTTTTCCTTCCATTGTAAATACTGGGCATGGAAAAAATTCTGACCAGGACTGCAGCAGGGCAAATGTTAAAGCCCTCACCCCATGAGACAGTCACACACTATTTGTCAACAAAAAAATAACTACACAACACAAACCTGTTTAATAAAATAGTTTGGCTCTTGGCACTTATACATACTCCACAAATATCAGGTGGCAGCCATAGCTAATGTACAGCTTTTGGAGGTAGCTGCAGATAACAATATTATTTTTAAATAATAATAGTTAGTTAATTGACGTGTACCCCACCCTTCGTCCCAAAGGAGCCCAGGGTGGCAATCACCTTTCTATCATTGTCTAATTTTAGGTAATTATATTTGCTAACCCAATGAACATTAAAATTTCACTGCCTCCTCTCATTTGATATCCATACAAAGAGGCTGCTTTAAGTTTTAAAGTGCTTTGTGGTTTGTCTTAGCAACAGTATAATTTGGGTAACAGCTGAAAAAGCTCCACTTCCTCTGAACAGCTCAGTAATCTGTTTTTGCACCTCTAGGTCTCCCCCCTCCCACCCCAAGAGTTGTTGTCATAGGATAATGATTACATTTGTTTCACTCATTACACAGGATAAATACCATTGCAGTACAATTTCCATTAGCACATCAAGGGGAAAAATCTTTGAACAGCTGAAAACAAGGTGCTGGTTATAAATGGATTCCAGACTTCCGGGTTAGCGCCATCGCCGAATGGCGGACTCCCTCCGAGCTCCGGAGGGAGTCTGCTCGGCAGGGGCTGGGTCCTACCGCGCCGGCGACGCGGGGACCCTTAAAAACCACGGGCACGGAGTCCGTGGACATGGGTGACTCGGCTTGCATCATTAGCGCCCTCCCGACTCGTGAAGGAGCCTTGTTCAAGGCTTCGGATCGGGTGCCGGGGAGTGGCGTGGTGCTTTGAGTCCACTGCTTTCCCTGCCGAGCGCAGCCGCATGCCATTCGACGGAGAGCGCTGACTTCTTCTATTGAAAATTTGGACTGTTAACAACAACCCGTGAGTAATTGGGAAACCGGGTTCAAAATTTTGGATTTGGCACGAGCGGGGGCGATTTAAAAAAGGAAGTCAATCCCCCCCCCTATTGTAAGCATTCCAAAACAAGGACTGGGTAACCAAGGTCCAAAGGGAAGTATGTCTCTGATAAAAATCATTAATTTCACGATGGGAAATTATAAGAAATGTGCTGGAGGAGAAGAGTGGAGGGTGAGAAGAAAAATGCAACCCCCCCCCTGGGAACCGGGGCGATTCGTGGAGCCTGGTGAAGAGAGACGGAGACTTTGACAGCTGTCAAAGTGGCTGTCAAAGCTGGAGAATATAAAGAGGACTTTATGAGGACCTTGCTGGTTAATTTTGCTACAATTTGCTATAATATGGATATAAACTGTTGGAAAATAAGCAACAATTTGACTTTTGGATTAGAGGATACAAAGTTATTACAATCCCCCTAGAGGGGTTTCAGGATACTACAAGAACGGTCGTAAGTGGAAAAATACCCTGGGATTCGCACAGGATTTGTTATCTTCTGGGAAAGCTGCAAAACTGAAAGAGTATTTTGTCTACAGAGGAAGACAATGGAATTTTTATTGAAGAAAGAAAGGGACTGGACGTAAGTTTTTGTTCCTGAATAACAAACCTCTGCAGAGACACTAGATTTCTGAATTAGAAAGTTTTAGCAGCTGAACAGGACAAGAAACCTGAGAAAGTGAGGAATAAGAAGAATAAAGGACTGATTACGACACGGAAAGAACAACGGGAGGAGTGGTAAAGATCAAGGAAATTAAAGGCCTTTGTTAGATTGGACATTTGAAGTCAAATACTATTTAAATTAATAAACTAAAAGAAAACCGGCAAGATGGAATCGGGGAGAAATCTGGTCATGAAATGAGACTTCCAAGCTGATAATGTATAGACTGATGGACATGGGGAATTCAAACCGGGAAGGGGGGAGATTTGAAATCCAAAGGCTGTGTAACCATTTTTGAATTTTTCTATATCTCTTATTTTCTATTTCTTTACATAACTTACGCATGTTATTTTACTTTGATTGGACGTGTTTAAAAAAAAGGGAATTTGTGGAAGGAACTGGGGTGGATCTTGGGGAAAATCTTTTTTCTTTTTCTGTTAATGATGTGGGACGGTGGTAAGATTTGTACAATTGTATTTGGATAGTGGGTTAAACACATTCAGCGTTAAATTTGGGAGTGAGAGCTTGTAGAACCAAATTAAGGAAAGGGAATACAATTGGGGGAGGGAGAGTCCCAGAAAGTAGGGAATGAAAGTAAGGTTTTTAAATATCTTCTTTCTTTTGTCTTTTTTCTTTGTATTTTTATATTTTTGGAAACTTTAATAAATATGATTTAAAAAAAAAAAAAAAAATATAAATGGATTCCAACCAAAAGATTCTCAATCACTAGGCAAACACATAAAAGCCATCTGTAATTGAACATTTTTGTTCCATTTTAAATAGCTGAGTTTCTTATTACAGATGAAAATCTTTTTGTGCTGAATGTTCAAGTTAGAGATCCTTACTATTTATAGTACAAGGTTTGCCAAAGAAAACAGACTACTTCACTATTGAAATATGTTTCATTGTAACATTTTCCATCTAAAACATGAGATTCTCTCTTTTTTTGGCTAACTTCATTGTCTCATTTCCAAAATTGTTATCAGTTGCCAATTTCTTCATCTTTCAAATTTTTATCAGTTTTCAAATTTAACAGGCTAATTAGCACTGCTAGCAATGTTTTGCCTAAATGTTTGAATTAGATTATTGCCTTAAATGGAAGTATCTTTGCAGAAACTAGCCAACCACACTTGCTTGCATTAGAATATTTTGTACTTCCAAAGCTCTTTCTACAAGATGTTTTCAAAGCGTTTCGCTATCTATACATTAAAACTTATGATTTTTTTCCTGGCTCTGTCTTCAGTAGAATGGCAGCCTGTTCTTATCAGCACATTTGATACAAAACCTCAACCAGACTTACTAACAATACCATCTGCAGCATATATGTAAGTTGCTCAGTTATTCCTGCTACAAAAAAGTGTGTTCCAGAATATTCCTTTAATGTGATACATCTGTCTTATCATTTGACCCACTTTTCCTAAATTTGAAAGCATTTTGCATATCCTTAATGCTACTCATTCAGCATACAAATGTTTCCATTCATTAGGTCATTAAAAAAAAATCATATATCATGATCTGATGCTGCAATTGCAACTATTTATTGTTATTGACATCCCTCTGTCTTGAGAGACAATGGCGTGCACCTCTGGGGGTGAAGTCAAATAACTGCAATAGCAGCACTGAAGTGAGATTCCACAGTACATGTCTGGACAGTGTGTATGGGGGTCCTGGGCTGCCCAGATGACGACCCTACTCTTGGTCTTGCTGATGTGGTCCAAAGGAAAGGAGGGCAATACATTTGGCATAAGCTTGGCTGCAGGAGTTGCTGGAAGGAGGCGTATAAGGTGTTATCCAACTGTCTTAGAGACTCCATTCTGGATTTGTGTAAGGTTTAGTCCTTAGCCTTTTCTTCTAAAAGTATCCCTCAAAGAAGTGGAGGTTTAGGATCAGAGTTTTCCCTCTCCTAGATCAGGGGTCTGCAACCTTTAAGACAAAAAGAGCCACTTGGACCCATTTTCAAAGAAAAAAAACCTGGGAGCCGCAAAACCGGGAAGGTGACGTCGGGACGGTGCATGACTAACGCACGCACCGCCCCCATGCGACGTCACGGCCAGTACAGCGCCCGCCACAGTGGGGAGTGTCGGGGAGCACAATGCGCCTCCTCCCCTTGCTAGTATCCGCCCCGGAGCAGCGGCAAAGGTGTAAAAGAGCCACATGTGGCTCCGGAGCCGCGGGTTGCAGACCCCTGTCCTAGATGGACTACCTTCCCAGGTTGCTGAGCCCCATCTGCCCCTCACTTCTCTCTACAGCATTTGCAGAAACCGCCTTCTTGACTGTTGGACCCCCTATTGGTCTCATCCACTCAATCTACTAAAGCCTGTCTTTACATGCAGTGGTAGTCCCTAACTCACTGAAGGCTTGAGAACTCACTATATTATACAACTATACCAGACATATAAACATGTATAAGAATAGAGTGGCAGGATGTACCACTGAAACACCACACAATGATACAAGGAACATATCAGGATAATAGATGTCTACTAAAAGGCATGACTTTAGTTTATCCTGGTGCAGGAAACACAGGAAGCTTCCTTATACCAAGTCAGAAAATAGGTCCCTCTAATTCAGTGTTGTCTACGCTGAGTGGCAGTAGCTCTCCAGGGTTTCATAGCTACCTGCCCTAGCTGGAGCTGTCAGAGACTGAACCTTCTGCATGCAAAGGAGACACTATCACTCCACCCCTGATGTAGTAATATTAGCATGAGTATCTGGAATGTCTGAGACTCCCCTGCACGTCCCTTTTGCTGCTTAGCCTCCTCTGGTGGAGACACAGGGGAACCAGCTGTGAACTATCTAGCCTGCTGAAGAGTTCTCTGTTTTATATTTAAGCCAGGCTGTTGTGGACCTTGAAGTGCTGCAATACCAGTACTTAAAGTGTAGATTAGCTGTTCTTTTTTGCCCCTTAATATACGTAAAGACCAAAATCAAAATCTTTGTAACTTTGTAACTGTGCTTGTTGACGTTTGTCTTATTTGAACTTGATGATGTGCTTGGTAACAAACTATTTCCCCCCCCCCCCCCATGTTACATGTAATTGTAAACTGATTTGGGCACAGCTTATGATGGAAAAGCAGTGTATAAATAATCAAAATTATTCCATGACAATATTTTTGGCCTCATTAGTCCCTCCTCTTCCATCCTTTGGAGGAGGGAACCATACCTTAGTGGCAAAGCACAGGTTCTGAATGCAGAAGCTCCTAGGTTCAGTCCCTGGTATTCCCACTTAAAAGGATCAGGTACTGTAGTAGGTAATGTGAAACACTTTCTTTCCAGAGGTCCAAGAGAGCTGCTGCCAGCCAAGAAGAGACAATATTGGACTAGATGGTCAGATAATTTGACCTGTTGTTGTTGTTGTTGTTGTTTAGTCGTTTAGTCGTGTCCGACTCTTCGTGACCCCATGGACCAGAGCACGCCAGGCACTTCTGTCTTCCACTGCCTCCCGCAGTTTGGTCAAACTCATGCTGGTAGCTTCGCGAACACTATCCAACCATTGACCTGGCATAAGGTATTTGTATGTGTCCCTATTCATTCACCCCTCTCAGCCCAACATTCTGATTGAGGTGAGAAATCAGCTCTGATAAACTGGCAGAAATCAATCACTTACATCCCAGACAAATATAGGGAAAACGTGTCTTGGCTAATGGAAACAGGCATCCTGTGGACAAACTGGCAGCCCCTGGCACTTTCCTCTTTTCTAATTCGGGAAGGTGGCTGCAGCTACAGAGCTGCACATACCACTCCCCCCAGGCTAGAAGAAAGGTCAGACCAAACAATTGCAAAGATCTGATTGAACAATTGCCAAGATGTATCTTCTGCTGCTGAGAGATAGGCAGTCCAGATGCATTATGTGCTGCGCTACACTGGAGTAGCCAAATTGCCTTATGCTGTGGCTCAAGGGACAGGCAGGAGCAGGAAAGGAAACTTCCAGGAAATTCAGATTTTTAGGAACTGTTAAGATGTCACTCTCTTAGCACTTGGTACATAAGCATGGAATCTATTCCCATACACTTTTAAATAAAGACCAACTGCATCCAATCCCCCCCCCCCCAAAAAAAATTCCTAGGTTTAAATTAAAGAACAATTCACTCACACTACGGCTACATCAGTAAGCAACAAGGATTCAGGATTGCTGTCATCCAACACAGGACTGAGTTTTTTCCCAGCAGCTTTCCCAATTGAGGTTTTCAACTTCTTTACTAGCTTCTTAGGAGTGTTTGTTATAGTTGAAGATTCTTCAGTACAGCAGCAACTGTAGACTTCAATCTTCAGCTGGAAGGCTGGGCCAGCTTCCTCACTAGAAACAATTGTTTCACAGCTTTTAGGAGAAGTACAACGGTCAAACAAAAATTTAGAATACTGTAAAATAAAATTACAGCTATTTATTTATTTTATGTCTCAGCTACTCTCCAGTGCATGCCTCCCATGCCAGAGTGAAATTTAAAACAAAACAATAAATCAAAGTACAGCCACAAAACCAGATTCTAAAAACTGTTATAAAACATGTTAAAAATGCCTGGGTATATAAAAAAATTAATTGCCTAGCACAGAAAAGACATAAGCACTGGGGGCAAGCAAACGTCTCTGGGGAAGAAATCACAACAAGAAAAAGAAACCCTCTTTGGTGACCCTGCATCTAACCTCAGATGGCTTTTTCATAATGGGGAAAGGGTTTGTGAAGGCTTGTGGGGAAAAAGACAACCCTTCAACCAGCATCAGCTAATAACAAAATCAAGTGGTTTTGAACACATTCAGCAATCTGATGCTCTCCAATGGAAAAAAAATACTTTGTACAGCTAAAGAGGACAAGAACAGATGTCTAAAAATTAAACCCATTTTGTGTACCCAAGTTTTCAGGCTTCAATACAAGGTCATTTGCTGAGACAATGGACACTGAATCAGGATTTTTAAACCAATGGAATTACAGTCATACCTCAGGTTGAATGTGCTTCGGGATGAGCGTGTTCGAGTTGCGCTCCACGGCAATCCAGAAGTAACGGAGTGCATTGCTTTGGGTTTTGCAGCTTGCACATGTGCAGACGCTCAAAATGACGTCACGCGCATGCGCAGAAGCGCCGAAACGTGACCCGCACACGTGCGGACATGGGTTACGTTTGCTTCTAGATGCAAACGGGGCTCCAGAACGGATCCCATTCGCATCTAGAGGTACCACTGTAATTAACAGCTAGAGTGACAGTTTAAGTAGGCTTTTTGCCTCCCTGAACAGATGCATCTGAACACCTGTGCATATTCATGTAAACACGTGTATATAAGCGTGTATATCCATAGGCAACAAGCTCTAACTAAGCAGCACAGTGGGGAGAGGGGAGAGCACCAGCAGCTCCTCACCAAATGGCAAGTTCAGATCAGGTCAGTTACCCACATTTGATCACCTGAAGGCATAGCATCCAGGACCCGTTTCTGGTTTTGGCCAATCTTCCATCCTTCTATTTCCTCAAGTCTTTCAGCAATGCACAGAATGTATTATTTTCAAATATTCCAAGCAGTATTCATAATGCAATTTCTTTAAGCCTTTGATTTGACAAGTTGAACATTCTACTTTTCCCATTTTGCCTTCGGTGTAATAGAAGGGTTGTGTGATTGTTTTTGGATTTTTGTCTTCAGAAGAGTCTTTCATTCTTTTTAAACTTGCGACTTGGTGAGGCCCTGCAACTCTACACTGATCCAGAGATACTTACAATATGGTTGCACCTTCAAAACATATATCTGTGATTGCTTTATCCACAATAAGCAAGTCTGTATCAAAAACCTGAGTTCCTGCTTTGAGTAAGCAAAATACTGAGTAACGTTGGGTTCCTGTAAAAAGAAAATCCAAAAAGACTTTTAAAAGACTTGCTATATTTATTTTTTAAAATTGTTTATTGCAATTAAATAAAGAATTGAAGGTGTTTACGACAACTATAATAACAATAAAAATTACACAAAAACTAAAACACTTCAGCAGCTAAATATTACAGAAAATGTTTTTCCTTAGTTGTCTGCATATGCCTGGCAGGCATATTGCACAGTATCAAATTATTTCTATTTAAAAAAGATAGACCAGTACAAGATGAAAATTTTATGAGGGGGGGATTTATTTATTTATTTTGCATGCAGCAGAAAGATGCAAAGGAGGGGAAGATTCAGCAGGTCAATTTACACAATACAGCAGTTTCTATAACAAAAATATTTATACCTGGACCAACACATTATCTTTGTTTCCTTAAAACTCATGGAAGTTATTTTTTTCTGATAAACCTACTTCTTTTTTTACAAACTCGCATTAAAGAACTTGCATTAAAGAATGCACAATGAAGGATAAGAGTATTTTGCCATACTGAGCCTCTCTGACCTTACGGAAATTCAAAGTAAAATCTTTGGGGATGGTGGAGGAAGAGACAGTTTGAAAAGACTCAGGAGTTAATCTCCATGACACAGCAAACTGCATGCCTGCACGAAGCCAAGTCAATAATCCATCCAACAGGAGACAAAGTTTCATTTAGATACATTTCAATGTTTCAACTAGCAGGATTACTTTCTGTATCTTTATCAGATATTTCAGCTCTCCCACTACTGAATATGTGATAGCATCATACACTTCTGTCACTCTACACTCTTCCAAGCATTGCATATTTTAAGAACTATAGATTTCAAGTCAGCCTATTTCAAATAACTATGTTAGGTCTATTGCAAGGTCACATTACATGCCAAGTAAGAAGTAAATGCTGCACAAGGCCCTCTTGCTCAATAAGAGATTGAGCCCTCCTGTTTAGTTGTACAAAACCATTTTACAAAACAAACATACTTACTGTCTCTGCTGCTGAAGTGATCAGAGCCTTTCCACATTAATGGAATTCGGAGATCTAAAAGCAAGCAGGAAAAATTAAACACGGTGACATCATGATGCTATCCCAAGACAATCAAAAAATTCAGAATTTTTTTTTTAATCCTTATCTGCGGCAAAAGTCAAGCACACTGTATCCAGCAGCCTGCCTAATCAATCATCAATGATACTGTTCAATTATCATAGACTTCCCTTTGGCAGAATTTCAAAAGAACATCAACTGAAAGGGCATTTTCAGTTAAGAAAAGTTTAGAATCTTACACAAATGTACCTAAAAATACAGTGGTACCTTGGTTCTTGAACTTAATTTGTTCCGGGAGTCCGCTCAACTCCCGAAACCATCTGAAAACCAAGGCGTGACTTCCGATTGGCTTCCAGCACTCAATCGGAAGCCGTGGAAGCCACATCAGACGCTCGACTTCCAAAAAACATTCACAAACCGGAACACTCACTTCCGGGTTTGCGGCTTTCGGGAGCCGATTTGTTCGGCAGGTACCACTTTACTTGGAAGTTGGGAGCGTTTATTTATTTAAGTTAGTCCATTTTTCAGTCAATAGTGCTGATTTAGCTTGGGAATATCTCGGTGACAGATTGTTATTTCAGTGTGCCAGGTTCTTCTAAAGGACCATGGGCATCAGTGACGCAGAAGAACTTTGTTCAAAAGCTTGGTGAGCTACTGCCAGAGAGAGTAAACAGGCCTAGGCTAGAAGAACCAGCAGTCTGATTCTGTAAGAACAAGTCCTTAAAGGCACTTGGCTAGCTCAACGTAAGAAAGCACTTTTATTCAGAATCTCCCACTCCTTCCACCATGTCTCAAGGATGCTTGCAAAGCAGTGAAATCATTCATTCGGCTAGATTTAGCTCGGTTTGGATAGAACTCAAGAAGATTCTTCCATTCTTCTCCCAAGTCTCAAAAAAAAAGGGGGTGGGTGGGAATTCCTTTAGCCAGTGTGGTGTAGCGGTTGAGAGTGGTGGACTCGTAATCTGGTGAACCGGGTTCGATTCCCCACTCGTCCACATGCAGCTGCTGGGTGACTTTGAGCTAGTCAAACTTCTCTGAAGTCTCTCAGCCTCACTCACCTCACAGAGTGTTTGTTGTGGGGGAGGAAGGGAAAGGAGATTGTTACCCACTTTGAGACTCCTTAGGGTAGTGATAAAGCAGGATATCAAATCCAAACTCTCCTTCTTCTTCTTCCAGAGAAGCTTGCCAAGCCACAAGAGCCTAGCCACTTTGCAAACATCTCCACAGCTCAGCACTTACAGCTTAGAGGTAAGGGATTTGGTCAGAGGTTTGCTGCCACAGCTGTGGTGTGCTTCAGAGGCACAGGAGTGGATCTGAAATCTAACACGCCATCATCACATGGTTAGTGGCAGCCACAAATTTTGACTGGCTACCAAGGCCAAATTATGTGGACCCTTGAATATGACAGCTCCTGCTATCTTCGAGGAAGATACACCACACTATATTTTGAAATCACAGGATAATTTTGTGTAGAATATTTTACCTTTGTGTTGCCAACTAATAAGCAAAATCATTTGAACACCACAAGAGGTAGATATTAGGAGACACTGACAAGCTGCATGTTTTTCCAACACCTTTGGAAAAAAATAGGATAAATTTGGCTTTAAAACGAAGAGAAGCATCCAATAATCACAGAAAAAGAGTTGAGATGTAATGTTTTACACTGTTTACTAAAACTGGAATGGCAATTTATTAGAATCACTCATTTCCAGTTATGAGTAAAAATCAAAGTAACTTGGCTTTCAAATGATGCTTCATAAAGAGTTTGCAACATGCAGGGAAACGTGGAATGGCAGAAGCGAACAGCTTCATGTCAAAGAAGATTACATCTCAATCAATTTCATAAGCAGACATTCTTTGGCCTATGGTGCACATTATCGAAGCCTGCTATTTCAGCAATAAATCCCACTGGCAATGTATTCTCATGAGACTCTGCTTCAAAGCTTTCATAGCGTTTAATTGGCTATCCGTTTCTTGGAGTCACATTAATGTAACAAAATCCAACACTGAGGCAAGAATAAAATAGAACTTAAACTAAACAGATAAAAAGCTGGCAATAATAGATTTATTTTCAATAAAGGCAGGTTATTTTCTTCAGAGCTTCACCAGAAAAAAATTACTGGTCAGACCAACTAATCACTTTATAAATCAAATCAAATCAAATATCTTTAATACGGTCAATGACCAGACAGCAATTTATAAAATATGACATTAAGAGTAGTATTGTGCTACAAGTAACAGTAAAAATATGGCCAATTCACAGAATTGGTGCTTATATTTATGACCAGGTTTCGAGTTTTAAGTTTTTAAAATTCGATTCAGGAGTCGCTACTGTTTATTATCGTTCCTTCGATGTTTACAGTTTGAACTCCTTTGTAGACATCATTGCTCGTCTTATTCTTGTTGCAATGTAACAGTACTTTGCCACGGACCTGTTAATTTCGGGCTCTTTGTCAGCTAAGAGGTGTCTGATATAGGTGTCGTCTGTACTACGAGGTATTTTCCTCAGAATCGGTTCGATCAGCTCTTTTCTTGAGTCTCGATATAATGGGCAGTATAAGATGACATGCCCAATGGTTTCGATTTCATTGCTGTTACAGGGACATAATCTTTGTTCGATCGGTATTTTATTGTATCTTCCCTCTAGAAGAGCTGAAGGGAGAGCGTTAAAGCGGGCCCTGGAAAATGCCCATCGGTGTTTAGCGTTGTCTAGAACTTTGAGATAGTTTGCTAGATGGGGCCTTTGGGAATTGTATAGAAGTTTATAAGTTATCGGAAGTTGGTTAAAGTCATTTTGGGTTTCAATGTCCCTGAGTCTTTCTTTGATTATGTTCTTGGCCCTTCCCCTTTCTAAACTTAATAAATACTCTGGGGAGAGACCATATGTGGCCAGTTTTCTGAGAATGCCCTTCAACCAGCTAGATTGGAATTTGTCAAGAAGCATCAGGGAAAGTAGTCCAACCGGCGAGTTGTTAAGTCTTAGCCAAGTGCATAAGGTTCTTATCCATACTTTGGCTTTAATGCTGTATAAGCCCGCTTCCAGTCGTAAGGCGGCGTTTGGGACGCATTTAGGTGTTTGCAGGAGTGATCTAAGGAAACCTGATTGTATCTTCTCATATGGGTCTAGATTAGAGAGGGAGACGAGTGGTGCGCCGTATAGGATTTGTGCTGTTGGTTTTGCAACGAATAGTTTAATTGTAGCAGGAATGAAATTTCCTCCCGTTGTACGATGGAATCTTAGGATTGCTGTTGTACTTTTTTGTGCTGTAAAGGAGCTGTAGTTTATGTGGGCAGTCTTCTTCCTTGATGCTTGGAATATCACTCCTAGATATTTAAAGCATGTCACTTGTTCAATCTCCTGATTGTCTAAATTCCATCTGTATATTTTCCTTTTGTTAGAGAAAACCATGATTTTTGTTTTTTGGTAGTTCACTGGTAGTTTTTTGGTAGTTCACTGCTAGTTTCTCTTCTCTACAATATTGGGATAAGCTGTTAAGAGCTCTTTTGAGGCCCATCTGAGTCTGGGACAATATAACCGCATCATCTGCATAGAGTAGGATAGGCAGTTTTTTGTCTGCTAATTTTGGGGCGTGTGTATCCGCTCCTTGTAGATGGTCTATTAGGGAGTTTATATAGATGTTGAACAAAAAGGGGGCCAAAATGCATCCTTGTTTAACTCCCTTCTTTGTTCTAATGAAATTAGAGAGTTGGCCTTCTTGGCTGCATCTTATACGAAGTCGTGTGTTATTGTACAGCTTGTATATTAGTAGCAGCAGACGTCGGTCTATGGATGATTTGTTGAGTTTGTCCCAGAGTCGAGTTCTTGGGATGGAGTCAAAGGCTGCTTTAAAATCTACAAATGCTGCGAATAGGTGGTGATTGTGATGCGACGTGTATTTCTCAGCTAGGTGCTGTAAGATCAGGCAGTGATCCATTGTGGATCTCCCTTGTCTAAATCCTGCCTGTGCATCATCAAGAATCTTTGCTCTTTCTATCCATTCGCACAGTTTCTCGCTGAGATGTTTAGCGTATAGTTTACTTATTATATTCAGGAGGCTTATAGGTCTATAGTTGGAGGGATCGTCCCTCGAGCCTTTTTTGTAAATGGGAATAATGATGGAAGTCCCCCAGTCGTATGGGATCTGTGCAGTTCTATCTATATATGTGAACAGAGAGGCTAGCAAGGGGGCCCACCAGTTTGCATTGCTTTTAAATAGTTCCGCTGGTATACAGTCAGTTCCGGGGGCTTTCCTGTTCTTTAGTTGGTCAATCAGCAGATGGGTCTCTGTTAATGAGACTGCTGGCCATGGCTGTATCTGATCATCCGGTATGTCTAATGCATAGGACTCATCGCTAGATTCCTCGTAAAGATTATGGAAGTGCGTTTCCCAGGTTTTCATTGATATGCAGCAGGATATATAATTATATAATTATAAAATTCTGGCACACAGGCAAAGGTTTTGTAGTTTAGCCTGGCAAGTTGGAAAATTAGTGCTGCTGCTGCTGCTGCTGCTCTTATTTCCCCCCTACACAATTCACTTTTATGTTCTGGGTCTCCATAATTTTGCCTTTCACTGATTCTCTTCTGATCTGTCTAATAGTTCTTTCAATATTTCCATAGGTGGAAGCTCTTCTTTTGCTTTTCCTCTATTGGGGATCTTGGGTTCTTGGGTTCCTCAGGGATCTGTTCCAGGATCCCTGCTTTTCTGCCACTGCACATTATTCCTGGGAGACCTCATCAAATCTGTAATACTATGGCTTTCTGTACCCCCTGCAGGGAGATAACACCCAGCTCTTTCTTTCTCTCCTCCTGAGCTGTTCTCCCTGCATTCCTACATCTCCAGCCACCTGATATTTATGCTTCCAAGTTATGTTTTTTCAAACTCTTGTTTCAAACTCAGTATGTCCAAGATGGAACTGCTCATCTTTCTCCCCAAGGTCTGAACTCCCTATGTGCTATCCTGAATCCATTGATAATGCTACCATCCACTGTGCTGAACAGGTACATGGCCTTGGCACAGTTTCATAGCTCCTCCTAAGTTGAGGAAAGGACCTATCCTTCTGTAATCGGTAAAATACCATGCACAATGGTGGTATGTAAATAACAACAAGGTCCCTGTCCAATTGAGTTAACAATCTAGATTTAGACACTAGGACAGGTGTCTACAACAAAGATGAGGCAAACATAATTGGAACAGTCTTTGAAGATACAAATACATATATTTAGGCTTTGAATTTGGAACTAAGGAGGTAAGCCAAAGGAGGTAAGCCAAAGCAGTGGGCCTTGAGAAGGGCTTCAATGACTAAAGCTGTTTGGGGAGCAAATTCAAGGCATAAGCAGTAGTGAGGGGCAAGTCATTAAAACAGGAGGCCTTCAAATAGGTGAGGATGATCAATTTAAAAGAGAGAACGTCACAGACCCCCCCTCTCCCCATTTTGAAAAACTAAGACTGTGATCCTACTCGCCAGTTAAATGCACCTTGCATTCTGTTTAAATTAATGAGCCTTATTTTTGGAGTATGCCAGTTTAGGACCAAGACATAGAAGTACATTTTAGAATGCAATACTTGTAATTTCACTGCTTATGCCACATCAGAAGTAATTTTCAAAACTACTCCTGCTTGGTTCTTAAGCAGTTATATCCTCCAGTGATGAAGCTGGAAATGTATCCTTTGTACAAGACAGTTACACAGTGAGGGTGATAAGGCCTTGAATATTATCTTAAATGCAATGAATGCATTTACTTTCCAAATGGATTTAGTTACCGAGTTACCCAAGGCTAGCCATTTCAGACAGAGAGTGTGCATTTCAGTGAAAAGACACTGCATTGCAATTTATATTGCATCAGCAAATTTTCAAGCACACCAACTGAAGGCTTTCAGAACATAATAATACCTGATATGGCAAGTCTCCCTCCACAAGCTTCACGGTCTTTAGCTGCAAAATCTGAACATCTGACAAAACAAAATAAAGATTATAATTAGATAAAGAAATTAATTTCTATCCACTTCTTTTCTTTCAAAATAAATTTGTCTGAGGTCAGATTATTGTGTATTCGGTTATGCTCAAGAGGGATCCACACATCAAAGTATTGTAACTCTAACCAACCCATTAAAATTAAGCCACTTAGGGTTCAAAAATGACACATTTTTTGCATTTTCTAGGACACTCTAGCACATTCATAACTGTGCACATTAACACCCTCCCCCCCTCCAAAATATCTCTATCATATAAAATCTACTGGAACTTCTAAGTTTGGTTGAAACCAAACAAATCTGGCAAACCACATTTGTGTTCTTCTGCAACTTCCCATCTTTCAATGACATTTGAACATAACTAGTACCTTGTGTCTTGGGCAAATTTCTCTAGGTATCTTTTCTTCTCATAACAGGAACTGGTGCAAGATGGACAGAGCAACAAAGGAAAACAATTTACTTCCTCCTTTGCTTCTGTACTGGACACACAGGAAAAGTCCTTGCAGAGGCATGATCACTTGGTCCTTTTGCCATGAACCCACTATGTCTCTTCACTAGATGTGCAAGAGACAATGCCCTGTCCAGCATAGTGCTGGAGTTACAGATTGCGCAATTCCTCTGCCATCAGCCTGCTGTGTTTGTATGCTAGACAAGCAGGTGCTTGGTCTGCTGCATGTCTAGCACAAAAACACAACAGGCTGGTGGTAGAAGGAAGGAGCAGCTGCTGCCAACCCCTTCGTTTCTATGCGGGACGTTAAATAGGAAGCTTCACCTCCTGGATGTCCAGTAAGAAAATGTAATAGGCTGCTGGAGGAGAGATGAAGTGTTCTGAACCATCAGTGGCAACCTCTTTTGGTTTCTGTGCTAAGCAGAGAGAAGGTAGTATATACATGCTGCCTAGCACAGAAACCTAAACTGTCCCTGCCCCAGCTACGAAACACCCTTTTCTACACCCAGCATAGAAATTCAGTGGTGCCCTGTCCTCCTTTTGGCAGACTACTTCCTCTTTTGTGCTCATCCTTTTAATGGAATTAATCTGTCCTTTGTGGATTAGCGGTTTAGATTCTGTTCATATATTTGGTTTTCATATTTCTTGTTTAAGTTACTTGGACAATTTTGTGTAAAAAGCAATGAATGAATGAATGCATTAAAAATGTAATACAAAAATAAGCAAGTGGCCAAAGCTACAGTGAAGCATAATAATAATTAAAATCAGTATTTTAAAATCCTAAACCATCTTTTTCTACTTGGCCTGAGGACAGGTATTTTATTTCCTTTCTTGGTTGATGTAGTTATCAACATTGACCAGCAGATGGCACCAATTAATCATTTTATTTTATTTTATGGGGGGTGTACAGGGAAGATATTGTAAATGTATTCTCAAGCTTTTCTGTGTCATCTAGCATTTGATATGGCATCTTTAGATAAGAAATGTAACTATAAGGCTCAAAACACTTTAAAGGTCACACCCGCCCTGAGAATACTTTGCTTCTGAGGGTCGCAGAGCTAGTTCCCATTGTTTACAGAAAAATTACACATTATCACCTGCTCCTTCCTGTGTTTCTTCATTAGAAGCTGATGTAAGAGACCAGGTTTTCCTAACCATGTGGGAGTCACTCCTCCAAACCCAAAGTGGTTCCCACACAGGATGATGTTTCTTGTCACTAGACCAGTCTCAAGATCTCCATGACTCCTGGATCTCCTTCATAAGAATTCTCTGCTCTTTCAACCCTCTACTTTTCTTCCCACCAAGAGCAGCAGCTGAAACTGTTCTTAGACCCTGAATGAGACTAAGGCCACACCGATTATCTGCTGCTTGCAGAAGTTGCACCTGTCTTTCAACTTCAGCAGCAGACACATTTGTGAGCATCTGTTGCATCACAGCAATTAAGTCAGTAATATTTTCATTAAAAACCCAATGTCTGAAGAACATTGGTTGGTGAGTAGTTACCCCATGCTGAATTACAGGCCATTACTGTAATAATGAGTGATTAATGGGATATGCTTGCAAGAAAACTCATGAGATTACTACTGACCGCACTGTGGTTCTCTTCATGGTTGATTCTCCCGTCTGTTTCTGTAATTCTGTCCTGTACGCAAGGATGCGAGCATTGCAAACCATCAGATTCTTAACTGCATGCAATATTTGGTCCTTTTGTGTGCTAACAGCAAGCAGCTTACAAATTCCTTCTCGCATTCTTGTTTCAAAGTCAATTTTCTCTTGAATGCTGCCACCCTGAACACCAAAACACAATGGAGTTGTCAGATAAATCTCAAATGACAGATTTATGATATATTGGAGGGGAATAAAGTTGGCTAAACCAGGAACAACAGATGCCAGGAGCTACAACCCTCATCAGCCCCCAGCCTCCTTAGCCAACAGTAAAGTATGGCAGAAACTAGTGTAGTTCATCAACATCAAGTTAACTTATCCTTACACTAGGAGGTGTAGATTTTTACTTCATATTCAGTTCTGTGATGGGGTTAGAGAAAGACGTTTGCAGTCTACATTCCAAGGATCCTGGAGAAGAAGGACCATGAGGGGACATACTTCTCTAAAAGGCAATTTGTCCACCACCCATTGGCTGCGTTAAGACTCTCAGCCCAAAAGGCCTGGCTAGAGTGCAAGGGGTGACCAGAGTCCTAAAACTAGAGAGCCAGCATCACATAAGGAGACTATGCCATGGCTCAAGGGATCCATTGAGGACCACTTGGGTGCCGTAAATTCTGAGGGGCAGGTGCCCTTCCTGACAACCCTTCTAGACTGTACCCTGCAAACAAAGGTGGCTTTCTTTTCATCGATGAGAGCTTCAGCACTAAGGCAGCTTTGCTTAAGGTGCAGCCTGCCGAAGAGTAAAACGATGGGACTGCTCGCTATTGGGTGGCATTCTGGTCGGTCTAAACCAGTGTTTCCCAACCTTGGGCCTCCAGCTGTTTTTGAACTACAACTCCCATCATCCCTAACTAGTAAGACCAGTGGCCAGGGGTGATGGGAATTGTAGTCCAAAAACAGGAGACCCAAGGTTGAGAAACACTGGTCTAAACGGAAGGGCTTTCCTTTATTTGGCGGATACTGGGCCGGCAAAAAAAAAGAGGGTCGCAGGAGGGGCCCCTTCATCCCTTCCCCGTCCCTGCTCCGCTACACCACTGAAAGGGGACAAAAAGTGTGTGTGGGGGGGGGAATGTCCTTGAAGAAAACCCGCCCAAAGCCAAAATCCGAGGGAGTCTCCAAAGCGGGGAGGGTTGAACTTTAATACCTCATCCCTAGTCCGTTTCCAAATGTTTAGCTCCTGAAAGGGCGATGGGCGCCCGGTCCTTGCCTTCTCCTGGCGCTTTAGGAGACGAAGGAGGGGAGGGGGCGGGAATCCATGTCGCCTCCTTCTCTCCTCCCCTGCTTACTATTTACAGTGGGACCTCGGGTTACATACGCTTCAGGTTACAGACTCCACTAACCCAGAAATAGTGCTTCAGGTTAAGAGCTTTGCTTCAGGATAAGAACAGAAATCGTGCTCCGGCGGCGCGGCAGCATTAGCTAAAGTGGTGCTCCAGGTTAAGAACAGTTTCAGGTTAAGTACGGACCTCCGGAACGAATTAAGTACTTAATCTGAGGTACCACTGTACTTGATACAGCATGCAAGGAGGACGGGAAGAAGGAGAGAGAGAGAAAGAGAGAGAGACCGCCAAAACAACAGAAACGCGCGTTTGCTCTCCGCCCCCCCAAAAAGGCGGGGAGGCGAACGGCCTCCGCTGCTCACCTGGCCCTCCTTCACCTGCTGCTCGTCGGCAGCGCGGCCTGCTCGGCACCGCCTCATCGCCTTTCCCGCCTCGGCTATGCCCGCCGCCGCCGCCACCGCCTCCTCCTCAGAGCCGCCGCAGTTCAAACTTCCCGCTCCGCCTCCTTCGCCGCAGCGCCGGCCCAACGGCAGCGCGGGGCCCGCCTTTTCCTCCGCCTCCTTCTCCTCGTCCCGCCTCGGCCGCGGCTCCTCGTCAGAGGCGAATGGCTGCCCAGCATCGCGTTGCTGTTCAGGCGCCTGTTCCGCCAGCAGCTCCCGCTTTGCTTTATAGCCAGGACTGACCTCCGTAGGCAGGAGCCTTGTTCGCTCACGTTCAGCTCTCTTCACTGACATAGGTTGTGGGAAACAAGGAAGAGAGGGCGCCGCGGAGCATGTGCAGAATGTTCTTCCTCCAACCAGCGCCACGAAGTAGCTGCCGTGCCACTGCTAGCTATAATCATAATCATTTTAAATTATGTTTTCCTCGTCCACTTGACTGGGTTGCCCCAGCCACTCTGGGCGGCTTATATAGCTTATACAGTATAAAATCATCATAAAACATCACACATTAAAAAGCTATACGGGGCTGCCTTCAGCTCGGCTAGTACTGCCTGGGACTTCGCTTCAGGAGCACAGCTTGCCAGGGCTCGATGAATGACACCGTGTTGCCCGGTGCCCTCCAGATGTTGTGAACTATAGTTCCCATCCGTCCCAGCCAGCATTGCCAGTGATCGGGGTGGGTGGGAGTTGTCCAAAACATCTGGAGGGCCCAGACCTAAGCTATCTCCCAGGATGTGAGGATAAAAGGGAGTGCCAGGTACACTGCCTTGGACTCCTTAGAAGGCAGGTTATAAATGTAGCCAATACCCACATACTGGTTCTCATTCTCTTTTCTGAGTGCAATTCACAGTGCCAATCCTCATTTTTAAAGCCCTTAGGGCTTGGGACCTGAGGGACTGCTTATATACACATAAGCCTGTGTGCAGCCATGCACTGCTATCATCCAGAGACCCTTCTAGTCCCTTTGGCATCTGAAATGAGACAAGTTAGTCTTCTAGGTTCCTGTTTGTGCAGTGCTCCCCTGAGGCCAGTTTGGCTACCAATCTGATGTCTTTTAGGGGCTGGGCGAATAACTTTTTCATTTCGCCAGATTTTATCACCACTTACCATCTGATGGAGTTTTAGCTTCTACAAGGATTCCATTGGGATTGCCTTTGGATGTTACCTCACCGATCTTTGTCGTTTTATTATTGCATGCTTATTGCAATTTGTTATGCAATGTTTTTGAGGGGGGGGGGTTTGCTGAAGGGCAATACAGAAAACATATTTTAACTGAGAGTGTGCTGCACCGTACCACATATTGCACTTTTCAGCAATCTTAACTGTGCCATCTTTTTGATTAGAAATGCAATATGAAGATATTGAGAGGGCTTGAATGTTTTTAGGACTGCAGTTCTAAACTTCCCTAAGCTGGGAGTTATGCTTACTGAAGTCAGTGTGACCTATTTGTAAATAAACATATAGGATCAAGGGAAACATAGTCAATCATTTGACTAAAGTTTTAGCCAGGTAAGGTAAAGGGACCCCTGACCATTAGGTCCAGTCGTGGCCAACTCTGGGGTTGCGGTGCTCATCTCGCTTTATTGGCCAAGGGAGCCAGCGTACAGCTTCCGGGTCATGTGGCCAGCATGACTAAGCTGCTTCTGGCGAACCAGGGCAGCACACAGAAACGCCGTTTACCTTCCCGCCAGGGCGTTACCTACGGTATTTATCTACTTGCCCTTTGATGTGCTTTCGAACTGCTAGGTTGGCAGGAGCTGGGACCAAGCAACGGGAGCTCACCCTGTCGCGGGGATTTGAACCGCTGATCTCCTGATCTGCAAGTCCTGGGCTCTGTGGTTTAACCAACAGCGCCACCCGCCAGGTACTACATAGCAAACTGATATTCTTATACACACACACACAGCAGCCACACATACTGCGTTGTTGGAGCTTAAAGCAAACATCTGTAATAAAAAAGATCCTGGGAAATAAGCCTGGGAAACCTGGTACATCTAATAAGGCAATTTATGAGAAGGCAGTTTATTAGCCACACCAAACAGAAGAGAGAAAAGGCCCTGAAACTGAAAAATCACAATCTGTTTATCCATAACACTATCTAAAATTTGTTATGTAGAACTGTGGGTGCTGTGTGGTCACACAGGTAATTATTGTTCAAACGTTTCTGTGTCCTATGAACTTTTCTGATCTTTAAGCATTTAGCTTGATTAAAAATTGAGCTCAGTTAAACAGAGCAGTCAAATCTATATATTTATTTCTAGGGCAACAAATCTATATACTGTGATGGCAACAATCTTCAATGGCTTTAAGAGGGAATGGCTACTAGTCATTATGGTGAGGGACCTCCATACACACTGCCCAGGCTTCAGTGCTGGATTTATGTATAGGCTAAGTAGGCTGAAGTCTAGGGCCTCTAAATCTAGGGGGACTCGCCAGCCAGCCCGCTCCCCAGTGGGCAGTCTCCCCTCTCCCAAAACTGCAAACCCAAGACTTCATGTGAGGACAGGGCAACTCGGGCCTGCCAGGCTTGCGCCCCAGATCTCTGCAGCTACAGCAGGCGCTGTCTCTCAAACGCCAACAAACACCCCCTTTCTCTATGATGGGAGGTGTAGAGCCTCTGAATAAAAGACATTGGGGAACAATGGCGGGAGAGGGCAGTTGCCCCATGTCCTGCTTGTGCGCTTCCCAGAGGCATCTAATTGGCCACTAGAGGAAGCAGGAGGCTGGACTGGATAGGCCTCAGGTCTCATCCTGTAGGACACTTCTGGGTTCTTATGACTGCTCCAGAAAACTAATTTCAGCCTCCTGAGGATTAGATGCAAAAAGACCAGCCCTTTTTGATGGGAAAGATGGAACACGGAGAGAGCAGACATAGACAAGCATAACTCTGTGGGCGTTATCAAAAATTTGTCAAAAGAGAGTAATAAATCATTACTAAAGAATTTTTTAAATTGTAATGACAGCCATATGTACATGGAAATTTATTTTCTCATTATTAATCCATCAGTACTCAATCAGGCAAACTTTCATTGCTTTGTATTTTCCCCAGGGTACATTTATCTGGAAGCTGTTGAGAAGCTGTCAGAAGATAGGAAAAGTATAGTAAAAACCAGTATTAAAATTTACAACCGTTTATTTTGTTGCTGAAAAACTCCAGGTTTTTTTTGAATTTTGTTTTTGCTTCCTGCCTTATTAAAATGCCACAGGACTGTTCTTTGGCTGCTTCTATAAACTGATGTGTGTTGTGAATAAAGGCGTAATACGATGCTTTGTACATTTGAGTAGTGGGAATGCCATAACGAGACAAAATACACCCCCAAAGTGAACATGCAATGCCAGGCCTTATTAAGGAAACATTCCTAGTGCAGTTGTATGTATGTCTGCTCAAAAGTACCTCTCACTGAGTTCATCTCACTGAGTTCACTGAGTTCATCTCACTGAGTTCAATGGTGTTTACCATTAAGTGGGGTACATGATTGCAGCCTCAGCTGACCTGCGGATAACTCCCATTGAATTCAGTGTGGGTTTACTGATTGCACTGTAAGCCAATAATACTTTATTCCAAGTAGATGGATTTCTGAATCATAAAAATAACTGGCATTTTTTAAGAATGGCATTTCTGGACATCTTGATTTCTGCATAATAAAAACACTTGCTGCAATATTGATGCCCAAATGTTAGTCTTATTTACAATCTGTGGTTTGCATTTACTCATTCTGAATGCAGATACATCACTAGTTACTTTAACAATGTCTCTGTGCTTGCCCTATGGGAGAAGAGTCTCCTGTTCTTCCCTCCAAACTACTGCTTTTAATGCATAATATTTTCCTGCGCTGGAGCTGCTGAAATAACCAGTGTTCAGGAGCTGGCAACCCCAGTGATCTGCACACATAAGAGCAAAACAACAACAACTCAAAAGCATTTGAAAATCCTTCTTCATTCTCCTCACACCTGCCCCAATTGATAATGTATATTTTATAAGTTAGTTAGATAATTACTTATTATTTATTGTATAACCTGCATCATGTCAAGGGCCCAGGGTGGATAACGATATTAATTTTTTAAAGTCCAATTACAAAATATTAAGCATTGTCTCAAGGGCCTAGGGTGGATAACAATATTAATTTTAAAAACTCCAGTTACAAAATATTAAGCACCATCTCAATGGCCCAGGGTGGATAACAATATTAATGCTTAAAAGTCCAATTACAAAATATTAATCCCGCTTGTTGCCTTATTCTTCTACAGATGTGAAGGCCTGGAAAAAAATTGAAAAATAGGTGAGGAAACCACTGCCTCCCCCATGTTTCTCCTCCCCCTATTCATTTCTGAAAAGATGTGGGTGGAGTGGAACTGTTCCCCCACCCATCCACTGAATCTTCCCAATCCCCAGGCCTTCACATCTCTGTTCCTGCCTAATCTCCAGCCACCCAAACCCAATCTGAACAAAGGTGACCTACACCACTTTTAGTACAGTAGATGGCCACATTCTGATTTTGATGAATCAGAGGAGCAGAATTGTGAAGCTGAGGGGCAATCACCAAAGATAATTGAAATATACTCTGAGTCGAGTGTGAATTTCATGCTCTTTATTCAGCTCATAGTAGCAATGAATAAAACTTTCCCCAAAACGTCTAGCTATATACAGTCGTACCTCGGGTTACATATGCTTCAGGTTACATACGCTTCAGGTTACAGACTCCACTAACCCAGAAATAGTGCTTCAGGTTAAGAACTTTGCTTCAGGATGAGAACAGAAATCGTGCTCCAGCGGCGTGGCGGCAGCAGGAGGCCCCATTAGCTAAAGTGGTGCTTCAGGTTAAGAACAGTTTCAGGTTAAGAACGGACCTCCGGAACGAATTAAGTACTTAACCTGAGGTACCACTGTATACATTATTTACACAATGGGCCCTGCGTGATTGGCTAATTCTGGGCTGCTCCTGCAGGCCAATCAGGTTGCTGATTCACTTCATCCAGGAGCTGATTGGCTGCTCTTACAGGCCACTCAGGTCACTGATTCACTTCCACCTGGAGCTGGATTGGGTGGCTCCTGAGGACCAATCAGACTGCTGCATTCTGGATCCTATTGTTCTAGGATTCAGCTCAGTACATAACAATACAGTGGTACCTTTGGTTGCGAACGGGATCCGTTCTGGAGCCCAGTTCGTATCCAGAAGTGAACACAACCCGCGTCTGCGGGTCACGATTCGCTGCTTCTGCGCATGCGTGTGACGTCATTTTGACCGTCTGCGCATGCGCAAGTGGCGAAACCCGGAAGTAACACATTCCGTTAC